TCCTCCGCCTCCTCCACATCTTCCTCCTCTCCGTCAACATCGACATGATCGGATGGCATGCTCCATGTCTCATCTCCTTCCTCTCCATCCCGATTCTCACTAAGCTCAGCATGTATCTCAGCACCCAAACAATAAGGGTTTTGTGCATAAAATCAAAAAGCACATTCAAACTATTATCATCCACAATAGGCATCGCATAATAAAATAAAACACCATTCTACCATTCTGGAAGACGGTAATTGAAACCTGTGATCACATCACTATTTTGTACTGCTTCATCTCTATGTCGTATTCTCTGAATTAGAATCTCACAAAGTTTGTGATATGTCACCATGGATGGAACCGTCAACTGAAAACTACTATCACCAACGAATTGGACGCCCAAATTATCCTCTACTTTCTTCGATTTCCACCGAACGACTAGTTCAAATCTTCTAAAATCCTACAGAAACACAAACTCACTAATTAACTAAACAAAATCATAATAGCATTTGAAGAATATAATTAAAAAATAAATGTGTCTCTTACCTATTAGTCATTTCTGCAGCAGCAACCAGAGCTTCTCCTCCTCTAACTTCATCGATTTTTTTGTGGTGAGCAACTAAAACGAAATTCGCTGGTTTTTTATAGGGGTAGCCAGCAATACGCCAGCGGACCCGCCATAGTCCTGGGCGCCATCGCTAGGTTCAAATTGTCACCAACTCCCCTCAGTCTCTGGTGGTACCACCTCAGTCTTGGGCGCCGCCGCTGCCACCTTAATCAAATGATCCAAAAAATAGAAATAGCGGCAGCACCCGAGTCTCAGGCGTTCTCGCCGAATTTGCTCTCCAAAACACAATAACTGTGTCAATACTTTTTAATCCGCCATATTGAGGATATATTAAAAAAAATACAATATTTATGTCATTAACCCAATAAAATGACCTCAATTGAGTCAATGAGCGAGGTTTAATTTAATGGAATTACACGAACTAACATTTTGTCTTTGGAAAGACATAAGTAAAATAATATCATCCAATGCGAGTATAGGTATCAAAACAGAATCCGACATGATTAACCCGACCGATCAACCCGATTCGCAATCTACCTGCAATTCTAATTGACTAAAAGTTAACAACTCGTAATTCGCTCGATCCGCAACCTGATTGACCCGCAATTTGATTAAACCCGCAACCCAAACCCGACTGACTTAACCCGAACTCTACCCAATCCACTTGAATAATTATATAATACAAAGTTTTCAAAATGAAGTTTTTCATTCTAAACTTATGTAAAATTATTTTTTCATTTCGTATAGGGAACTTAAAAACATTAAATTCACTAGATATTATGTATTTTAATAAAATTACAAAAACTGAAACATGAAGGTAACTTGAACACTGAGTTCTCTAATAAAATTAAAAAATTAAATATAAAATATAAAATCAACACAATATCAATATGTATGATGAAGATAATTGAGTTCATGGAAAATATTAATAAAATATATATAAATTAATATTTTGGTTAATTTAACTATTCAACAAAGTTATCCATTAAATATAAATAGAGTAAAGTAATGTATTTGATAATTTGATAATTTGAAAAGAAAGAGAGAAATTTTGGTATTTTCAACTTTTTGGAAAGGGAGAGAAGAGGGAAATTTGGTAATTGGAATTTTTGAGACAAAAAACAAGGGGGAAGTTTGGTGGTTTTGATTTGCGGGAAGAAATAAAGTGGGAAAATATTGTTCTTTTGATTATGAAAATAGAAATAAGGATGGAAATTTTGTATTTTCAACTTTTTGAGAAATGAAGGAGGGAAATTTAGTTATTTCAATTTTATGAAAGAAAAAAAGGAGGAAAAATTGAGTGTTTCCATTTTTATGGACGGAGTGTTACTAATTAACCATTTTGTAATATTATAAGGAATAACTATTTGACTGTTAGATTTAGAAACCTATAATGAGTTATCTCATCTTCAATCTAATATCACTCGAATTATCTTAAATGCATGTTATTTTACATTATAAATCATATACTTAATTACTTGTCAATTTAATTATCACAATATTTTCGTATGAATTATGAAGATTTCGGAGTTTAACATTTCATGAGTAAGACATTGTCTATAGTAAACATTATTTAGCCCTTGCTAGTTTTAGCAACGAATTTAGCAAAGGTTTGAACCCTTAGTACGATCATATACCTGATGGATTTTAAATTGTCATGTAGCAGGGGATTTTAACCCTTAGTACATGTAGCAGAAGTTTCAACCCCTGCCAAAAACTCCTGAACGGTACTTTCTTTGTGGGTTTCTAAAAACCCTTGCTATCCATAGCAAGGGACAACACTGGCAAGGGTTGGTGTAGGGTTTGGAAAAACCCGTACTACAATTATAACAGGGGTTAAAACTTTTGCTATAGGCCAATGAACAATAAGCGTTGGGAATGCCCTTCAGTGGTTGGTTTGAACAACAACCCTAGCAGTGGGAACGCCTTAGTGATTGAACAGATTGTTACAGCTTGGAAGCAGTTAACACACACACAACGAACTACCAACCCAAATTCCTATGGTTGTTGCATTAAGTATCGCAGATGCGACGGAGCAAAACAAATGAATCTAACAAGCAGATTTAACTCTTTTAAGACTTGGCACAGAGCATGTTAGTGGTTAGAAAACTCCTGGTATGGGTCTTTTTTGTGTTGGGTCAATTTAAAGTATTAACCAAAACGAAAAAACAACACAAATTATTAACCAGTCACTTACTCGATCTTGGCTAATGGAAACCAGTCACCGGTTCTAGTACCAGAACGAGGACTTCGACAAGGAGACTCTCTGTCCCCGTACCTATTTCTACTGTGTGCAGAAGGGTTATTGGCTTACACTAAGCTAGCAGTTCGAGAGAAGAAGATTCATGGCTATCAACCAGCACAAGGCTCCCCGACTATCTCGCACCTGTTCTTTGCTGATGACAACATTTTCTTTACCCGGGCAACAACACATGAAAGCCAGGAATTGAAGAAAATATTATTGGATTGTGAAAAGGAATCGGGACAGATGGTTAACTTCTCCAAATCAGCTGTTTCGTTTAGTAAAAATGTGACCATGCATAATCAGTTATTGACTAGCGGGACCCTTGGAATGAAGAGAGTGGAGAAGCATGATAAATATCTCGGGCTTGCGACAGTGGCAGGGAGGTCGAAGAAAGAGATGTTTATGGAGATGAAGGAAAGAGTGCGGAAGAAACTTAACAGTTGGAAGGAGAAGACATTGTTAGCAGCAACTAGAGAGGTACTTATTAAGTCTGTCGCACTAGCCCAGCTGTCGTATGCGATGACAGTTTTTCGGATCCCTGAAGGGGAGTTAGAGGAGATCCAGAGGCATATTTACAATTTTTTGTGGGGTCAACGCGGCTCGGAACGTCGTGCTCACTAGATAAAGCATGAGGAGATGGCATGCCCAAAGGAACAAGGTGGGATGGGTTTCCGGGAGCTAAGAGGTTTCAATACAGCCATGCTAGCAAAACAGCTGTGGAATCTCTACAAGAAAACCGGACTCATTAGCTGCACGAATCCTTAAGGCCAAGTACCATAAGCACTCGAGTGTCCTGGAAGCTCACCTAGTCTGCCGACCGAGTTATATCTGGCGTAGCATCATGTCGGCTCAAGATTTTCTTGTTAGTGGTCTTCGTTGGAGAATTGGCAATGGATCTATGGTGCGTATCTAGGGGGATAGATGGGTTCCAGGTATTGAAAAGTACTATGTACCATCTTCCCCGGTGGGGCTGCCGGTGGATGCGGTAGTACGTGATCTTGTGGAGGAGGAAGAGGAAGTTTGGGATCAGAACCTACTTGCAGCCTGTTTCCCAACTGCCGTAGCCCAAGCTATCTGCCAAATACCTTTGCGAGGGAATGGGTAGATGGATGTGCAAGTTTGGAGTAGTTCTAAAGATGGGGTTTACAAAGTAAAGGACGGTTACAAACAATGGTTGCTATGCTTTAAGGAGGAAGCCGGGGTTACAGCTGTGGGCAGCCCGAAATTGTGGAAGAAACTATGGTCTCTACAAAACCCTCCAAAAGTCAAGAAATTCTTGTGGCGGTTCACGAGAGATGCGCTACCAACGGGTGGCCATGTCGCTAGCCGCAATCCGAGATGGGGTCATAAATGTGTTTTATGCGACCAGAAGGAGACACAAGTTCATATGTTTAGCGAATGCGAATGGGGTTCCAGAATCTGGCGGACATCCTCCTTTGTTGATTGTTTTGAGGCAAGAGGCTCGGGTGACTGTCTAGAATGGGTAACAATAGTACTGAACTCGAAAGGAAAAAAAGAAGTGGAAGGATGAAGTGTGTTACTCATGTTATTTTGGAAGGAACGGTCAAAAGTTAGCTGAGAATGATATTGTGCCCCGAGCTAAGTACTACCTCGAGGACTACCGACAACACCAAGGAGTGGAGCAGCCCGATGAGAGAATGCCAGGTGCGAAGCGATGGCAAAAACCTGGACCAGGAAGATTCTCGGTCACCTCCGACGCTGCTATACTTGATGGGGGAGGAGTTGGTATGGGTGTTCTAGTAAGAGACAGCAATGAGATGTTTGTTCTTGCCGCAGCGAAGCGAATGCAAGGGGAATATAGTGTGGAAATGGCTGAGGCTATGGTGGCGGAAATGGGAATGCAGATGCTACCCAGCATCACTAGTGGCACCCCGATCTTGAAGAGTGATAGCTTGACAGTGATCTCGAAGGTCCAGCACCCCGCTCGTGACTTGACTGAAGTTGGTGTTGTGTGCCACAGTATATGACGGAAATTGCAACAGGGGAATGGTTCTTGTCGACATATTCCTAGAGAAACGAATGGTGGAGCCCATATTATGGCTAGAGCATTGACGAATTGGGGTGAGCGAGTAGTATGGCTTGATAGGCCGCCGATTTGTTTGATTGATCAATTAAAGCTTTATGATGTAACAACACAGATTGATTGATAGAAAGCTCAGATTACCATTAAAAAAAATCACGTCATTCATCTTTTTGACTTGATTCCATACTGGCTACGGCCAATACCCAATACGCACACGTCATTCACTCAACCGAATTTTCCATATCCATCCTCAATATTCTTACCCTTTCCCGAACCAACACCCCAATTGAAGCGAAGAGGCAAAGGAGGACTAATACTAATACACAAACATGAACCTGACACCAACTCCGCGAACCAAACCCGCGAAGCACTGTGGGGAAGAGCTGAAAGCCGTCGCCGCCGCTGCTTCTTTACGATACGGAATGTCGAAAGTCTTGTCGCCGCGGCAATCGCTGTCCAGCTCCCCTTCGTAGTAAGCAATCATCACTTCCGCTCCGCTCTCCCAGGCTTTCAAGTACCACCAATTCTCGCCGTCGAACTCGTCGCCGCTCCAACGAACCGTCACGTTCCTCGGGAAAAGCCCCGCCACATCCTCATCGTACGGCAGAAACGTCCGCATCGCGGCGCCCTCCGCCCTCTTAAGTGGCAGGCAGTGGGAGGCTGAATCGGCCGACAATCGAAGCTTAATCGGCGGCAGTCGCCTTCGATTGCTGCCTGCAGCCTTGCTGGGATCCTCCACCACAGGCTGTGGCGCCAGTTTTCTGTGCTTCGGCGGAGGAGGAGGTGGCGTCGGCGGCGGGGGAGAAGGAGAAGGAGAAGGGGAAGGGGAAGGGGAATTCGTCTGGCCCTGGTGTTTAGTACTAGGCCGAGAGCGAGGTTGATTTGACGGCGGCGGAGGGGGAGGAGGAGGAGGAGGCCGCGGATTCCTGCCCCTGCCTGAGGCAAGGGGCGGCGGCGGGTTTCTGCCTTTTGATTTCTTCTCAATCTCCGCTTTCAGCCTCCGAATTTCCTCCTCTTTCTCGTCCAGAGTCTCCTGTAAGCCGTCGATTTCGCGACGAAGCTCCTCCAAGCTCTCCCCGTCGCCCTGCTGATCCGGCGCCAGCTCCTCCCCTGTTCTCATGTTGCATCGGTTCCAGGGGAGCGAAGGCGCGGCCGAGTCCCCACCCATTTCCGATTGTTGATCGACTCCGTAATCGGACCAGCTGAATATGTCGTTGAGGCGGTAGTACTCGAACCCGGCGGACGAATCGACGATCCCTGCGGTGTCGATGAAGCAGTAACCGTCGGAGTTGACGATGAGGCGGGAGTAGCAGAGGTCCTCTGCCAAACGGGTGAGCTGGTCTTCGTCGATGTCGGAGCCCATCACCTCCAGCACGGTGTACTCGAGGTTGGGCCCCACGCAGTAGAGGTGGGTCCAGTTTTGCTTGCGGATTATGGTTGTGGAGGGCGACTCGGCCGCCGGCGTGGCTTCCAGCTCGTAGACCCAGATGTTGGTTTTGTCAGGTGACCGGACGAAGAGGTTTGGAGAATCCAAGCTGATTCTGAATTCGCCTTCTCCTCCCAATTCCTCCTCGCTTTCCATCGTTACTATGCTTCTATAGAAGAGATTTTGACGGTGGATCGAATTGGGAATTAGGTGAAGAAGAAGAAGAAGAAGAAGAAGAAGAAGAAGAGGAATGGTGGAGTTGAGTTCAGCAAATCAGTTGGCGAATGGTGGTATAAATAATGAAGACGAAAGTTTAATACATCAAAGCTTACTGTTGTTCAAAATCTAATCCGATCTAATTGTAATCGCCTGCTTAAGGAGCATAACCCAAAGGATGTGTACGTACCAGTTCATAACCATTTTTAACTTTCAATAAGTATTCGTGTTAACTTAAATTTCAAAGAGAAAATATACACAACTTTGAAAGGAAAAAAAAATCATATCTACAAGACATCTATTCTGATATATTCTGGAAACACGTTAATATATCATGATAGCCTAACATTATATCATAGTGGTTATATAATAAAAAAAAAGACATGCCACGGTCATAAAGATCAAAATGTGTCAGGGTGTTAGAAATTACACCGGTACAAAAATAAATATCATGTGATTATATAGGAGGATAAAATTCACCACACTTTAAGTTTGAATGCTGAGACTAACAATCATCTAACAAAAGTAGTGGCGGAATTCTTGGCCCAATAAAAAATACCATAAATATATCAAATTGAATATCATTTTATAAACAACAAATTAATCTACTAAATATTTTCAAATATGAGTTACAAGGAATAAGATACAAACTAATTAAGTAAAGAAAATTTTAAAAAAGGATCATTTAAGCTCCACCATGATAGTGATCCAAGCGACTGAGTTTTGATGATAAATATTTTCTATAAATATTTTCAATCACGAGTTACAACGAATAAGATACAAACTAAGTAAAGAACAAAATTGAAAATGGATCATTTATTCTTCTCCACTATGATAATGATCCAAGCTACTAAGTTTTGATGATGAATACTACAATATTCCTTGTCCGCTCTAGTTTTTGCTGTATATATGCATTCTTGCTCTAGTTTTTGCGGTATATATGCATTCTTGCGTTTCAGAGGACCATCTATATACGACCTTCTACTACAGTTTACCTCTTTTTTAACTTGATTCTTCAAAAAAACTTGCATAGAATCAACGAATTGTTTGTGACTCAATATATTTATAGAAAAAATTGGATCAATTATAAGACCCTCTTCCATGATTATTGGTGATAAAATGGTGGTATATGATATCATAATGAATGACATATTATGTAAATATTGATATGGATGACCAATGACCTACCACATTAGATGCTCACTTGGGAGTTACATGTAACCTCTATTTCTACATTATTATCTCTCATTCATATGCATTGATATAAGGATGTAGTGGTTACCAAAGTGTGCCTATAAATATAGCACACCATTGTATCAAAAGTGAAGAATGAATAAGAAGAACTCTTCCCCTCTCTTCTCTTGTGTCTTTTCCTCTCTAATATTCTCTTGTAGTTGTTTATATTTTCATTAGTTTCATAACACGTTATCAGCACGAAGCTCTGCTAGCATCATGGTTGGTCATTGTCTCTCTACACGATCTAGTATATTGGAGTAAGTTCACAATATGATCAAGGTATGTAATTCTTAGATCCTTTCTTATCTTATTGTCTTATTTGTGGTGAGATTATCTCATTCCAATATATTAAGATGGATGCTACTCTTTTTCATAGTATACCATCCATTGATATTTTATCTCGTACATCTATTTGAATTAAAATTTTGGGTTGTGTAATTTGATTTATATTATTATGTGTTTTACAATACATACATTGATTCCTTAAAATTAAATTGGTGTTTTTGACATTATCGCAAATTAAAAATTTCTCATGTAGTAGCAATAACAAGAAAAGTAATATAAGTGATGAGTTAATTTTTCAATTCTCCGTGTTATCCTGTTCTTATCAATCCCACATTGATATGTAGAAAATGCAAGTTCCAAGAGCCCATATATTCCCCAGAAGTGGAAATTGAAGAATTCAAGGGCAAAGAAAGAAAAGGACATGATAATAAGAATATTGGTTCTGTATGTTACCATTGTAATGGAAAAGTGTGTTTGTTTCGTACCCGTTGTACGCAAAAGACTTGATTCTACCAAGAATCAAAGGGAAGAGCAAATTCAAATATGCTGATGCAATATCAATATTATGGAACATATTTTTTGTATTATAAGTTGGTATATTCTCCATTAAAGATGAAAATGATATTGCACTTGAGACATTTTCATTCCCAGAAGTGAATGAAACAATCTATTCCCCGAAGTGAATGGAGCTATAAACATGATTATATATATGCTAAATGTATTGTTTGGATCTTTTCACCAGAAGTGAGAAAAGAGAAGAATTATAAATAAGGATAAAATAACAATTGCATTATCAAAGTCATGATGTACCTGTTGTACATTTGATATCCTTGTTGGATACTCTAATATAAAAAAATGTGTATGAAAGAGCGCATGAAGCGTGATAGACCAATCGGTTCCAATGATAAACATCATCGAGAAAGAAAAGGAGCTGTAATTAGAATGGTCAACTCGAGGACATGAAAACTCAAGAAGAGTAACCAAGAATTAATTATAATTTTAGTTCCAGAAGAACACATGTCTCTGAAAGTTGTGAAAGCGAAGAGATCTCAAAACCATATTAGACTACGATACTGGAACCGTAATGAAATCATTGTCGATGAAATTTGTTTGTTGTACTTCAGTACTGAATATGATATGTACAAGTGAGGATCAAGAGTAAAACTCTATTGATGCATGCAAATGATGATTTTATTGGCCAATATATTAAGAAATCATGAAACTTGCTCAAGGAGCATAAAGTTTAAGGACCAGAAGTCCTTGCACCTAAAAAAGGGCAAAACTAGCGGGATACAAACAAATTTTTGTGCTATTGGAAAGTATGAAATTGTGAGAGATATCGCACAATGTTTTGCAATGGGTTTCTCGAAAAGACCTATCATTATTTAAGAGGAGTTATACTCCCCTGTGGTGGGTGCAACTACTTTTTCAAATCAAAGTTTGAAAATTGTTGTGATAGCCTATTTGTTTGAATTCCCGAAAGATGTTAAATATATTTGAAACTCCCAGAAGGATTAATTACTCCTAGAAGGATTAATTTACCTGAAGTAAACAAGTAAAGTTCTCGAGAACATATAATGATAGACTAAGAATCCCCTGCATGGGTTGAGAAAATATAGACGAATGTGAAATACTCGTCTAAGTGAACACCTACAACAGTGGGGTGAATGGACCTTAAAATGTTAAATCCGGATAGAGTGCATTAGAGCATTTGCATTGTGCATATATAGTTGTGTTGTTTGTAAGTGCTTCAAGGATTTTAAAATCTTGGTTTATGAGTTGTGTTTTACTTTAAAGTATGAGTTGTGTTTTATGACTGGGCTTTGTCTAGTTCATATGTTTCTATGATGTGAGTTTTGTTATTATCTTTCGTGATATAAAAGAATTGCTTGCATCAATTTGTGTTAGTTAAGTTGTTTTTTTTTTTTTTTTACGATCTCATATTATGTTGATGATATGACTATTATTGGAGCTCCTGAAGAGCTTCCTAAAGCAATTGATTGCTTAGAGACATAAGTTAAATTGAAGGATTTAAGATCCTTTTTATGGGCAAGGAAGGTAATGTTGAAAAAGTGGGAAAGTAATTTTGCATGAACGAATTGTGTTCATCAAATAACATTAGGATCCTAAGATCACTAGAAGTGACCAAAGATCCATTTAGGCATCAAGAAAGAAGTGAGACATTAGGTCCTGAAGTACTTTATGTTGATGTACTAGGTCCTGAAGTACCATATGTTGATGCATCAAAGCACCAATGCACATTGCTACCCAAACACCATATAAACTATCATTTTGGTGTTCATAATATTAGCAAAATACAATGTTTCCCTCAATGAAACGTTGGAAATACTTTGTTACCTTCAGGAACAATATATGCGATTGTTCTATTACGGTACTATCAAAGAGAGATTTGGTGAACTATATATCCAAATCATATATATTATTTGATCCTCATATTGGTTGATCATAGACGAGCTATCTCTTACATATGGTGATGTGATTGTTTCATAGATATTCAAAACAAACTATAGTAGGCAAGTCCTGAATGTATTTCGTTACACTTTGTGATTCACCATATCTAAAGGACTTGTGGTTGTAAACTATTTCTAAAGGAAATGATCCTGATGATCATGGTCCATGGATAAAGAAAATCTAAAAATCATGCATAAGATTGACAATCTAGAAGATTGTTCACTAACTAACTCCCGGCAACAATCTTTCTAAAAGTTGTTCGTGAAATTTGAGTTCAATGACTCAAAGATTTGAAGTGATGTGGTCATGAGGGGGAGCATATACGCACTGCACTCTTTTTCCCTTAACCATGGTTTTTTCCCACTGGGTTTTCCTGGTAAGGTTTTTAACGAGGCAGTATGAGATAGCGTAATGCAATCTAGTGGTCATCCAAGGGGGAGTATTATGTAAATATTGATATGGATGACCAATGACCTACCACATTAGATGCTCACTTGGGAGTTACATGTAACCTCTATTTCTACATTATTATCTCTCATTCATATGCATTGATATAAGGATGTAGTGGTTACCAAAGTGTGCCTATAAATATAGCACACCATTGTATCAAAAGTGAAGAATGAATAAGAAGAACTCTTCCCCTCTCTTCTCTTGTGTCTTTTCCTCTCTAATATTCTCTTGTAGTTGTTTATATTTTCATTAGTTTCATAACATGACAGAATTAAAAAAGACTTAGGGGAACCATAAGAAAAAAAGACTGAGGTCCATAGCAGAAAATTAAAAGTTAAAATTCTTTGCTCTACGCAATAGGCCAATCGCAGAACAAGAAAAGACTATCGATGTCAATATTAATTGGCCGAATTAATAAAGACCGAGTTCACAACTCACAAGCAGCAAAATTTAAAGCTATGGTACTTTGATTTACGCAATAGCAGAATAAGAAAAGCTTACCCTAAGTCAAGTAGGGATGGCAATGGGTCGGGTCGGGGACGGATAATGCATATTCGTTACCCTACCTAAAGTAGTTCGGGTTTTACCCATACCCATACCCACATATGAAACAGGTAGAAAATTAAAATCATGTCCATACCCGTTCGGGTTTGTAGACAAAATACATTTGTATGTGTATAATCGGACGGGTTCGGGTTGGATACTGAGAAACCCATGCCCACCCATTACCCGCAATATTCGGGTTCGGGTTTTACCCGTACCCACTAAATGTCCTTCGGGTTCGAGTTTTACCCTACCCGATTAGGCCGGGTTCGGGCGGATATCCACGGTTACGAATATTTTTGCTATCCCTAAAGTCAAGGTAATCATCCAAGTTATTGTCGTTACATATAAACAAGAAAAACTAAAATGATTTACCTACCTATACCAGTAACCTAATTTTAATGGTCAGTTGACTTTATGATAACACATAAATGAGTGTTATTTGTCTTCCAAAATTTTGGTTTTTTCATGTCATATTGTGTATCTACCTGTATTTGAACTCGCATTTATCCTTCATTTGCTTCCTATCATGTAAATTAACTCTATCAAGTTAAGGTGTGTGGGCTTAAAATATTTAAGGAAGAATAGAATTTCAAGTGTAGAGAAAAGTGCAAGAAGAGTTCGCATGCAAAATTCAAAACATCACGATCGAGAATTCCAAATTGTGATCACGAAGTTCATGGGATATGTGAAAGCTCAAAACCCAGGATCTGTTCGCTTTCATGGGATATGTCAAATATAGCAAATAAATTTTCACTCTCACTATGATACTATCATCGAAGCTACAATTAATTGATTCTGCTACTGGCATTGCTTCTTCATTAGGTCTCCGGAGTCAAATCATTGGATTCTATGTTGGTGTTGGTTACTTGCTGCCATTTGAAGAGAAAGGTGCACCAGAGTGTTTGGGGGGAAAGTGATCGATGCTGAACAATTAATTTATTCCTTTCGTTATGATAGTTGTTTCTAATGGGTAGCCAGATTAGATTTTGCTTCGGTTTTTGCCTTGGTTCAAGTGTAGTAATGCTTGGTATCTGTAGGTGAGGAGTGAGTCTCTTTTCTTGTATTTTCGAGTTTTGCTTTGTCCAGTCGTGCATAATGAGAATTAAGATTAATTATCGAGAAAAAATAGTCTAATAAAAAATTCAACAAATTGGTCTAGTGATAATACGGGGATAAAACATCCTTCATCCATCAGTTCAAATATTGGAAGCAACAACCAAGGAAAAATATAAAAGAATAAGAAAAGACCATCAAAGTCAATATAATTTGCCAAATTAAAAAAAAAAGACCGAGATACTAGCGTAAAATTAAAAGTTATAATACTTTGGTCTACGCAATAGCATAATGTAAATTCCAAGAAGTTGGCCAAGGAGCAATAAAAAATAGCAAAAAAGAAAAAGACTATCCAAGTCAATATAATTAGCCGAATTAAAAAAGACTGAGGTCACTTGCAGAAAATTAAAAGCTAGAATATAATTTGGTCTATGCAATAGCAGAATAAGAAAAGTCTATCCGATCAGGCTTATTATAAAAATAAAAATAAAGTCTATCCAAGTCAGTATGATAATCCATATTGTTTTTTTTTTATAAATAATCCAAATTGTTGGTCATGATTCATGACATTTAAACAAGGAAAACGAAAATGATTCCCTAGCTACCATTTACCTAATTATTGGTCAGTTGACTCTCGTATTTAATATATATTGGTTTATTTCAGTAAAATAAAGGATGGTTCTATTGTACACCACACAAAAACTAGTATATGTTGGACATCACAATCTACATTGTATGTGTTCATATCAATGGCCAGGACAATTGTGGGTTATTTTTTTTTTATAAAATAAATTATCGCATTTATGCTGACCGTTCATATGGATTTGTAAGGTAAAGATTGGCTGGTTTACGACATACACCGATTTTTTACTGGTGTATACACTTGGTCGTCATACACACTATCTCAGATCAGACCCGTCAGTCACACCTCCTTCCTTTATATGTCCTAATCCACCATCATCTCCCAATGAATCAAACCAAGGCAAGCAAAATATACATATCATCATCAGTTAATCAAGATGGGAGCGTCGTACGAACTCAAGTCCCCAAAACAGTTCGTAGCTTCGTCGGACAAATCAAAAATAGATGTCTACGAGCTGACGAGAGACACAAGCACGACGAACGCGTCCAACGTCAGAATCAGCGACTGGAAGAAGGTGGCGACCGTACTGGCCGCCGCTTCCGCAGGCTGCAGACCACCACCGAGTGACGACGACGCCATCAACAAGAAGGGGCCGGCGCCGCCGCCCCAGCCGCACGACGCGCTGAAGGTTTTCAGCAGAGAGATCAAGGGCCAGGCGCTGCGCAACCTAGCGGACGACCTGGTGCAGTCGCGGCTGCTCATCAACCGCGAAGGCTTCTGCTTCATCGACGCCACGACACTCGTGGACCCCAAGTTCGGGGTGCAGTATTTCCGGGCCCAGGACCTGTTCGCTTGGTCCCAGTACGGGGTCGACGACGACGAGGATAAGACGACCACGTGGAACCCGTGCGACATGCACGCGGCTGGGGCCGTTGTTCTGGACTACGGGGAGATGGTGAGGGAGAAGGAGGAGCGAGTGTACCAGCTGCGGTACAAGGAGTATCGCGACGAGGAGAAGAAGCTGGAGCAGGCACACAAAGAGCTGGAGGAGTACCAGAATCTGAACTACTGGGGCGCCCCTCCGCCCTCGAGGCTGGTGTTGGCGGCGGAGGCTTTGATCCCGGCCCTTCAGCGACGGCGTCGAGTGTGCACGCTACCACTAAGAGTGGGGTCACCGTCAGCTACCAGTCGCTTCTGGTCCAGTGGGCCTCCGTTGGACGGAAAATCGGGGGTGAACAACTTGGTGGTGGTCGATCAAGAGGTTGACCAGCAGGCGTCTGGCACGATGGATGGCGAGACGAGAGACGGGCGTTTCGACGCTGGGAACTGGTGGTATGTAAGGACCACACATCCGGACGGGGGAACGACGCTGGTTGCGTACTACGAAGGGAGCTTCGCTCATGCGGAGGTGTACAATGGCTACACGGGGCGGCGAGAGCTCGTTCCCCTGCCCTACGCGATTGATTCCAATTTCAGGAGCGACACCCGTTTCTACCTGGCTTGCTTGTCTTCTCTCCTCCTCAGGATTGTCGTTATCCTCGTCTAATCATCATCATCATCATGCCGCAAAACAGCTAGCGGCGGCTTCAGTTTCCTCATTTTTGTTTTGATTATATTAATCGTATCATGCAGACACAGAACCAACATGAAAAAGTCAGTTTTTCTTTTTCATTTGCTGTCAGTGAGACTTAATTCAACCCGGTTTGATTGCAACTAAGGCTGGGAAACAGTCCGGTTTGATTTAAATCGGACCGATTGACCTGGTTTTTTACAACCGTATTGGCCAACTCCACAACCGAAGACGGAATTGGATTATTACATGGTTCAACCGTGACCGGACTGGATTGAATCCGGTTTCAACCCAAAAACCGGATCACCTTCTTCCATCTCAAACACTGCCGTTTGAAGTTTGAACACAAAAAATCACTAACCCCCCAATCCCCACGCCATTCCAAAATCTTCCTTCTCTCTCATTACAACCCAAGTCTTCCTTCTCTCTCATTCTTTCTATTTCTCCTTCCAATTTCCATCTTTCTACTTCTCTTGGGACGACAATAAGAAACCCAAATCCCACCCATCCCATCCCTTTCCTATTATGTTACTCTTTAAATCTTAACCCATCAAGAAATTAGGGGGGGGGGGGGGGGGGGGGGGGGGGGGTGGTGGTGGTGCCAAAAAGGGGGCGGGTCTTGCATGCTTTGCTATGGGAGAGATCCAGAGGAAGTCATGTCATGCATGTTTCGATCGGAGAAGAAGCAGAGCGACGGCCACTTCAAATCGGCTGGTGAGGCTGAGAAGAGAGAGGAGACCTGCGGCCGTTCCAAATCGGTTTTCTCGTCGTCATGGCCGCCGCCATGGAGTCGAATGAGAGGCAAGCGGAGAGGATGGGTGAGATGAGAGCGCAGAGTGAGAAGAGAGAGGGAGGGTTTCGATTTGGGTGTTGACGGCAGGGTGGGAATTGGGAGGGTGATGGTTTTTTTTTTTCTTTGCCGCTAGGAAGAGACCTACATCTTAGATAAGGGAAGAGATTGGAGAAGCACGACTGCTTTCCAGGTTGGGGAGACGATTTAGGGTTATGTAGTTGGGCCTTGAGAATTTGGGCAGGGATGGTGTGGCCTGTAGTTGGGCCTGGGCCTAAGTTGCTGAAGCAGGTGGGCTGGCTGGAGAGAAAGAATGGGCTGAAGTTGGGCTACCCGGTTTTTTCGGTTTTAACCGGATCGGACCGGATTGTGAACATAGCAACCGCAAACTGGATTGGGCTAATTGGATTCCGGTTTCCGGTCACAACCGGGACGATTTAAACTGGTCGGTTTCCGGTTTGACCGAAAAACTGGGGCCGAATTTCCAGCCCTAATTGCAACCATCACAGCTAGTTGGACTTCTTTGTCTTATTTGCAACTATATGAGAATGAGAAGAGGAAATCACTTTCCTCACTTTCAATTTTGCCAATGCAAATAGTTTTTTTTTTTTACGCAAAATTGATTTGTGTAGCTAAAACTTTCATGTTTGTGACAGTAATAGCCACTTTTGACGAAATACCAAATATAGCCAGAATTTTGAAAGTTTCATGACAAATATAGCCATTTCCGTTAACATATTTTAACAGCGTTAGTGACACCGTTAATCAAATTAACAGAATGCTTACTTGGATGTCAACTCACCGGACACGTCATCAACAACTCAACAACACTTGCCACGTGGATTCCATGTCATATTTTAATTTAAAATAAATAAAAAAGTAACAATTTATTTTTTCATCCACTCTCCTCTCCCTCCCGCCACTCGATGTTGCCGGTCTTCCCCTTCCTCCTCTGATGCTCCCTCCCCTTGTTTTCCAAACCCTCACATCCAATAATCCCCTCCATACCACTTCAATGGAATCAGCCCAAGAAGCAAAACAGAGAGAAGAGAGAGAAAGCCATCAGCGTCTCTTCATATCTCCCTCAACCTTTTTCACATCCTTTTCTTCTTCTCTCCTGCCTCTCACCAAATCAGCCAATCCTGGAGATTGAGGAGGCAAATCAAAGGCCCCTGCAAACCAACCTTCCTCTACAGATTGGAAAAAATTGTCTATCCCTGCATGCATCTCGAGCAAACACTGAGAAAGCCCCTTTCATGTCTGTGCCCTTGGAGCATGATTACATAGGCCAACGATTCTTCAATGGAGAAAATAGGGGATGTTAATATTCTCATACCGCCACAAAAGAGCACCACAAAACCCGTCTCTGGTCTCAGCATGAAGCCCGGGTCCGAGTCACCCAAGCGAGACGGCAGCAGCAGCCATGAACTTTGCATCGGCTTGCCCAGCAGCAAGTCCTCTGTTTCCCGACCCAAGTGGGTTCTCTGTAGCCATCCACGTTGGCTCCGGCAACTGGGTTTATAATCATTATCGAGTACACCGTATTGTGACCCAAAGTGCATACGTTTATAATCATTATCGTCATAAATATATTGAATTATTGTTATGACCCAAAGATTGCTTTTATACTATCGATACACTTTTGGTAGCATTTTGTGCATTTTCAGCGCAAAGCAGTCTAGTGAGCTAATTGAAAGCCGTAGGGTACATCAAACCCAAATTGTTGGAGCCCTGATTAGAAGGTCGAACGTCATAGCAAAACGGCGCTCGGAGCGCCATTTTAGTGAAGACTTTAAGCAGCCACGACGCCGTTTTAGGAGATTCGTCCACTTTGTCAATAAATTATCACGGAGCATCTTGATTGGTTGGCTGGACATGTATTTTTCAATTAATAAGAGGTTATGTCAAGTCCATGAAAGTTTATTAAAAAATACTACTTTTATAATTGATTATAAAAAGACTTGGAAAGCTCTGTACAGAAATAACGTGGAACTTTTTTTATCTACATAAGTGACATTAGTTTTATTTTATTTTTTTAAATACATTAGTTTAATTTTTGGTAGATGCATAGTCAATGTAATTGAATATGAAACCTTCGTATTAATAACCACTGAAAAATTATTAGACCAATCTTTTATTTATATGCCTTTTCAATTATATAACAACTTATGTCAAGTCTATGAAAGTTTGATAAAATAAGACTTCAACAATTGATTAGTAAAAGACCCAGATTGAAAACCAAAGATAAAACTATTAGACCAAAACTTGTTTGTAAGTCTTTTCAATTAAATAATAACTTATGTCAAGTATATGAGAGTTTGATTAGAAGACTTTTCTAATTGACCAAAAGAAAAAACTTGGAAGCTCTTAAAAAATGACCTGGACATTTTTTTTCTTCTTTTAGATGATATTTTTTTTATTAGATAAATTTCAATATGAAACCTCTTATTTAAAAACCAACAAATAAATCATTAAACCAAACACATGTTGGCATATTTTTTTAATTAAATAACATCGTATGTCAAGTCTTTAAAATTTTGATAAAACACCAATTGTTTTATAATTGATAAAAACGACTAGAAAACTCATTAAACACAAATTCAAAAGTGACCAAAATACCATTAATCATTTGTATTAGCACAGTGCTAACACTTTCTATCCAGTCCCAAATTTCCCATTTACTTTCTTCCGCCTACTCAAATTCGGAACTAGAAATGGAATTATTGAGTTATGCGCAAGGTTGTCAACCCGCGGGTCTATCCAGACCCGGATGAGCTAGTGGATCAAGGGTTAATGGGTCACCCGGATTAGCTCGAATTAGCCCGGAAATATGAAAAAAGTCAATGTATTATACTTATCCTGAATCCAACATAGAAAAAATGCAACACTACACAATTTTTTAGGGAATTTGTGTCGATTATTACTGTAACTTACACAAATTTTGGGGTTTGAATTTGACGAAATTTATTTGGCTCCAAAATGTGAACCACCCACCCAAGTTTCCCCCATAATTTCACCCAAAAATTTCTCCCTTTATTTTATTCTTTCCCCACGACCATCAGACCATCTCTCTCTTTCTTGCCTCTCACCCCTTTACCCCTCTCTTTCCTTTACTTCTTCCTCTTCTCCGAACAGAGAAAAACACCGCCCCAAGCCCAGCTTCTTCCATTGTCACGACTCTCTCCACAAATCCTAACCAAACCTCCCTTTGTTCTCCGCGATTATCAAACAGGTCCAGATGGATCGTTGGCGGAAACTCGGAGATCCGGCGACGACCTGACTTGCAAAGATCCGGTGACGACCTGGCTTGCTTTCTTGCGAATATCGACGAGCCGAGGAAAGGAGGTCGTTTGCGGCTGGCGCGCGGTCGACGATTGCTGGGAGGAAGACTCCGACGATCTGCGGTGGCGGTCTATGCTGGGGAGGACACTCCAAAATCGAAACGGCGCCGCACAGAAAGGAGACCCGCTAACCCTCTCCCTCGGTCAAACCGCCTGGGTTAGCCGGGTTTGTCCGTGATTGACTGGGTTTGACTAGATCCGGGCTGATTGTTCACTGGGCAGCTGTAGCCCGTTTTTAGGGACGGGTCCGGGTTAATCCTGGTCAACCCGCGGGTCGACAACCTTAGTTATGCGTAACATGTACGGACACCTCAGCCTCAATTGAATTTCGGTTCATTTTACTAATGCTGGCAAAACTGAACCGGAGCATGACCCGGTAATGCGAACAGTTTGCACTTAAGTGGTCCAACCGATATTAGACCGTTAAAGAACCGGTACCTAAAAAACATTATCAGTATAAATAGTGGACATTTCTTAATCAGAGATCGTCTCTTTTCTTCAAAATTGTGAAATGGAAATAAGGATTCGATTTGAGAGCCCGACGTTTTTGGTTTATTTCAATTTTCAATTTTCTGAAATTTTTTTAATTAAATTTAACGGCTGACATGTATGGCAAAAACCGGACGAGCTGCTCGATCGGCTCGAGTGATTAACCGCCTCGGCTGCTCGTCAACCACTATATAAAACTGAAGCGACTTTTAGACTGTGCCAACCCGGTTTTGTGATCAGGTGGTGGTTTTATCGGTCGGGCCGAGCAACTCGGCTTTAATAACACTGCATTTTACAATCACTGGTAAACCATTGCCATGTGCTACACTTCTCTAATTCGTGTACCATCACCATCATCTTATTTATTAATAATTATCATCCTAATTAACAACCACTTGCTATCCCCATTTATACTCGGGTTCGGTTTTAACAAATTTGCTAATTACATTTAAGAAAAGAAATCCTGTCTCATCACAGTTCATAACGGGAAAAACTCCACCTAAAACTTGCACCAACCGGAGTGAATATATAGGGAGCATATGCTGCCTCCTATATATCTGTGATCATTTCAACGGGAAGAGATAATTCAGAATATTATCATCATCAACATCAGAGAAGCCTTACACATCCAAATGGCCCCGTCTTTTGAGTTAGCCTCTGCTGATCATTTCGTTACATCATCGGACAGAAGCACGATCGAGGTGTACGAGCTGAACTCGGCCAACCCTTCCATAGTCAGAAAGTTCGACTGGGAGAAGGTAGCAGTCATCATTGTTGCCGCCGCCGCTGGCCGTGGACAACATCAGGAGCTTCACCACCAGTACGACGGGCTGAAAGTGCTCAACAAAGAGATCAAAGATCAGGAACTGAAGAACCTGGCGGCGGATCTCACCCAGTCCCATTTGATGGTCAATCCCCACGGCAACTGCTACCTGGACGTCACGTCGACGTCATCGTTCGTGGATCCGACGTTCGGGGTCGAGTACTACCGGGTCAACGACATCTTCGGTTGGTGCCGCCGATACGGAGTCACCCCGCCGCCGGCCACCGTCACCTCCACCACATGGAGCCAGCACCACGACATGATGTTCGGCGTCCCCGTGGTCGACTACGAGAGCCAGCTGAAGGCAAAGGACGACGAGATCCGCGGTCTCGACACCGAGATCGACGCAAAAAGGGCGGAGGTGGAAGCCGCCGCCGCCGACATGGAACGCTGCCGCAAGTGGAATGCCGACTTGAAGTCTGCGCACCCCTCGGTTCCTAGTGGGCCGGGGGCGATCGTGAAACTCCAAGAGCGACGTCTGAGCGTTCTGACGGCGACGTTCCTTGTGTCGGCTGCTTCGGCGGCGGCGGCGAGGAGGCCGACGCCGGTGGTGGGTTTAGGATTCAGAGTTCCGGAATTCGACAAGGGCGATGTGCCCTTCGACGGGTTTAACCTGGTGGACCAGGACTGCAGGGGACTACCCGCACCGCCGGCGGTGCGGGTGCGGACCCGTGACGGGTGGTTCGACACGCACAACTGGTGGTACGTGATGAGCCGAAGTCAGAAGTACCTGGGAGGCAACGCTGGCAGGGTGCTGGTGTTTTACGACGGCGATTTCAGTTATGCGGAGGTGCAGAATCCAAGATGTAATAGGCGGGAGAAAGTGCCGGTGCCGTACAAGATGGAGGGGGAATTCGCGGCGGACAGGAACTTCGATCTGGTCTACTCGCCTCTCGATGAGATTCGAGTTGGGTTTACCTATCGCTGGTAAAAATCTCGCCAGACTTTGATGGCGAAGGGATGTCCGGCTTAATAATAATCCATGTTAATATTGTCTTTTTGTTTTCGCCGGACTTTGATGGCGAAGGCATGTCCGATTTATAATAATCCATGTTAATTTTGTCTTAATAATAATCCATGTTGGATGATATTTACCTGCAACCTAGATTGCAGGCTCTGCCTACAACCTCCCCACATGGCGCCATTTTATTGGATGATGTCCTTTTATTTTTATCTTTCTTAATTTTGCATTAAAATGTCCCATAGAAGTGGCCGTCTCACGGCAAATTGTATAATTAGTCATTAATTCATTAAATAATGTAACTAAGCTCAAATTAATTGAAAACAATAATTTATGATTTTGATTTTTCAAAATACATCCACTGCATCATTTTAGGGCATGCATGTTGAAGTGTACATAATTAGAATTTAGGATTCACTCATTAAGATTTAGGATTTTGATTCGTTAAATTAGTCAGAGTTTGAAAAATTGTACTATATGTATATCATAAGCCCTTACACAAAAATACCGTAAGCCCTAATGAGTGAAACCAAAATCCTATTTTCTTAATAATATATGTTAAGATCAATTAATTAGAATCATTAACAAATGGTTCTTATTTGTTGAAATACATACAACGTTAGCGTTTAGGAAGAACGTTTTCGTGGAGATGCTAAGGTTGTTCTCGATAAGGTGCGTAGGAGAGAAGTTCGGGACGTCAACGGTGGTAGAATTCTTGAAGAAATTTAGTTGCTACGTCAGCAGTATGCTCGGTTTGAGGTGGAATTCATTGGTAGGCAAAACAATTGGGCGGCCCATTTGGTGGCTAGGAAAGCTCTTTCCTTGTTTCCTGCGGGAGTTCCGGGTTTTGATTTTCGTGGTTGGTTTCTCTCGAGTTTATAAACTCGTGTTGTTTGAACATTGTTATTTTTTTTCTTGGTAATACAAGTTAGCTTCTGGCAAAAAAAAAAAAAACGTTTTTCTTCTTAGTTTTGTAATACATATTTGTTGACGTATTATTAGAAAAAGTGAACAATTTACTAAAGTGATTATGCCATTTGGTGTTACTCTTCCACTTATGTTAGCCATTTCAATACAAACTTAAAAAAATAAAATGAAAGGAAATCAACCAATAAATTGCCTCCGTGTTGGGAGGTTGTAGGCGCTCCCTGCAAACTGGATTGCAGGTAAATATCATCCATCCATGTTTACCTACGGCCACGGAGGATGATATCATTTTCTTGTCAGCTTCGTCGGATGGGAGGTTTTCGGCGAAGTCAGCTTATTCCCTCCAAAACCAGAGACCGCCTGATCCGAATGAGGAAACCTGAAAGATTATCTGGAGCCTTCCTGTACCGGAAAGGATCAGGAGTTTCATGTGGCTTACTGTTTTGGAGAGATTGGCGACAAAGTCTTTACTGTTCTCCAGGAAAGTAACAACCAACCAGAGTTGTATAAGTTGCGGAGATCCGGTCGAGTCCATCCTTCATATTCTGCGCGATTGTACCGCGGCCCGGTACTTCTGGTTTCGTCACAGCCAGGTGAGTCCACAGTCCAACTTCTTTAGCGCGGATGAAAGCGGCTGGCTGCGTGAGAACCTTAAGAGCAACGAGCAAATGGGCTCGGGCATGAGCTAGGCTGCTTTTTTCAGCGTCGCATCCTGGCTCATCTGGAAGAATCGGTGCACGTCATGTTTCAAAGGTCCGAGCTCTTCTCTCTTCCCCCCATCCCTTGAGTTTTCGATTATGGCTAAGTGTAAACTTTGGCCTGAGGTTTGGCAAGCTCCCTCTCCTCTTCCCAATGGTAGAGGGTCGGTGACTGCCCGTACTACGGCGATGGTTGGGTTGACTCCCCCGATGCACGGTTGGTTGACTCTCAACGTTGATGGGCCTCTAACGGAAACCCGGAGCTGCTGGAGCAGGAGGTGTTCTCCGCGACTTGACAGGTAAATGGATTGTTGGTTTCCTTGCGAACATTGGGACGGCATGCAACAACTATTTTGGCCGAGTTGTGGGCCGTGTTTCATGGTTTGGATATGGCTTGGAAAAAGGGGTGTCGGGCTGTGCGCCTTGAGTCTGACTCCCAGCTTGCGATATAGCTCATCAACAATAGAAATGATCCTGTTCACCCCCATGCAACCCTTCTTTCGGCGATCCGTAGGAAGATTGGTAAGGAGTGGTTGGTAAGCATCACTCATGTATACCGGGAAGGGAAAGAGTCGCGGACTGGCTGTCGAAGCACAGTCTCGTCTATCCCTACGACATACCTGAGGTTGCTAACCCACCCCCTGAGTTAGCTTCAATTGTTAGAGAGGACGCCATGGGTGTATCCTTCGAGCGCCGGATTGTGGCGCCTACTCCTCCTGTCCTGTAGGGCCCCCTGTATTCTGTCTCTCGGCTTTTGCCTCCTTTTACGCAAAAAAAAAATCTTTATGTTTATCGATCGACTATAGTTTATCGGTCGATTTTAGTTTGTCTAATACATAAATGTTAATTTATTCCAAGTGCGGATATGAATAAAGGATAATGTGAGGGCGGATCCTATGATTGACTAATTAAGCCCTTCATTGTCTTTAGATATATACCCCATCATTGGTTAAAATATGTGAAGGGCTTTTTAATTAGTGATAGAGATAATTTGGGTATTACGTAAACTTACGAACTATACAAATCAGACTTGCAAACAGTACAAACAATACAAAGTAGAACGATAAAACATACCAACAGATTTAATAACAATACAAAATAAATGAACTATACAAACAATACAAACCATAAAAAAAAATTAAGAAAACAACCATATTGACTTTGGAGACTTCATCCCTATATAGGATCGAGACTTTCGATTCTTCTCAATCCAAGTCACCACCACCGTGTAAGAAGATAGCCTACAAGAGCTGGCAACTTACAGCCTTCTAGACTAACCCACTCTTAGATTTGGTTTTAGAAGCAGGTAGCAATAAGCTCTCTTCTAAACCTCAAAATCCAGGAGGCTTGGTTGAAGGAACTATCTATGAGAACACGAGGCCTTGAGCTGTGAACATTATTCTAGCATCGTCCTACTGCCTATTGGCACATCTAATTTCGAACTAAGGACTTCAACGATCCGTACGATCGAGAATGTTGGATGCTTTGAGGGCCACGACAATAAGAATCTGGTCAAGCATATCTAAGTGTTTCTGGAGATATGTGATTCTACACAACATCCAAGAGTAGAGCCTGATATGCAATCACTCTTTGTCTCTTTCCTTTCTCCATCTATGGGAAAGTTGAGAGATGGCTAAATCCCAAACCAACAGGAACTTTCCAAACGTGGGAGGCACTGGTCCATGCCTTTATATAAGAGTCATTCCCTCTATGGATAACTGACAATTTAAGAGATCAAATTGCTCACTTCCGGCAACACGCTTGAGTCGTTGTACAAAGCATGAGAGCGATTTCAAGAGCTCATTCGCTCTTGCACTCATCATGGATTTGGACAAAAACAATTTGCGGACATCTTTTGAAAAGTTCTCGACCTAAACACCATGATGAAGGTGAATCACGCTATCGAAGGTGACTATCATAAGGATAATTCATGCAACATATCATGTCATGCATCCACTCCCTAATTATAAGAATTAAGAACTCAAATTGAATACAACCATACCACAGATTACTATGCAAGTTAAAAAGGTTTCCCTATCTTCTAAGTTGTGAGGACTCGGTCAAGCTAGCATGTAATTCAATGGTCGTTGCACTTACATACACTTCAAGGTAACTTCTTGGAAATGTTCATGCAACAAAAATCACCTAGAGCACTAAACCTATAATCCTCCAATTGGGGGTGGGGGAAATTGTAGCACCCCGACATTTGGATTTAGGTTCAACCGTAATAAATACATGGTTGAATTATAGATTGGATATGAAAAATCAACCAAATCAAAATGCAAAACTGTTTCGTTTTATTAGACGGGGAAGAAATAAATTTCCCAAGAATCATTAATTAATCAAATAGATGGAAGGCATAACGGACGAGTGCTTTGAAGGAATAATTGAAAGGGCCATTATGGTTAATTACACCTCTGGTGTCGGTTGTGGGTAACGTTAAGGGAGTGAAGGCAAAGAGACACATTGTAGATAACTATGGCCCTTACTACCCGTTGACCCGGTCCGGCCCTGTGGGTCGGGTAGGGTCAGTTAGTCCTTAGGGTCAAAATAGGGCCGGGTCATATTCTGACCCTAAATGGTAGGATATTTTTGGGTTTTACCCTTAAAACCCATTCATGCCTATTTTAACCCAAGTACCTAATTACCACTCAAGGAAGCCGTCGAAAATCACTATCGCAACCAAACCCTCCTCTCTTTGGACATCTCCAGAGACACGCCGTCATCGTCCACGTCTCCTCCTCTATCCAAGGATGCGTTAGGTGTTAATACTAGTACCCAGCAGCAGCGGTCGCAGTCGTTGTTTGTTGACCAGCCGGTGATGGAGACGGGAAGGGATCAGGTGTTGGAACTACAGCGATGTTTCACTCACGACGTTTCACTCGACGATCAAAGTGAAGAGATGGAAGAGGATTCGAAGGGAATGATGAATTCTTCCGATGAAGTTGCCGTCCAGGAAGAATCAACGAGCTTCCCCCGTCGCCGATGCCTATTTTTTGTGTTTCCGAAGCAGAGAAGGATACAGAGCAGGTGAATTTCAGCGATCCATTCTTGACAGAGCCTCAACTCCATTTCGCGTTGGATAAGGGAGACGCTGGAAGGATTAATTTCGGGAAATCGGTACTGAAGGTGAGAGAGATTCCCCGACGGTGAATTATGGTGGCTGCGGCAATGGTGGGAGGACTTTTCGCCGTCAACACTGTTGAAATCACACGAAATCATGTCAAATCCTCTTTATTTTTTGAAATTTCATTTGATATTAAATAATTAAGTGGGTTAATATTATAGAAAAGAAGTTGGGCCGACCATATGACCCGACCCAGCCCGACCCAAAAGGGCCATACAGAGCCAAATGAGAATAGAGTCGGGCCGAATGTTTGAGCATACAGGGTTGGGTTTTTTTGGGTAGTGGCAGGGTCAGGGCTGGGTTTGGCCCAGTTTCACCCCTAATTGTAGACGGTCGGTTAAGCAATTGAGCGCCACGATAAAAGAGGAAACGAGGCAATTCCGATGCAGCGGTACTTGTAGGAGAAGGCTCCCAAAGAGCAACAACGGCAGCGTGGAGCGGTGACCGGAGAAATGCTACCCTCGAGGGAGATGGAGATTCGGACCATTCATTGACAGCGGTTGGTTTAAAGGGGGTTAGTTAGTAACTCGTATTTGATAATGGTATGGTTTAATTGATTTATATTCAAGTATTTGCATCATTCCATTACTACGATAAGTAGTTAAGTCATGCTCCTATATGCTTTTACGTTATGTATAGTTATTTTCAATCTTGTGTTTTAGTAAGCATTGCATTGCATATGCATAACTGATTTATGTTTTAAGACAGAGGAAAACACGTTATGTTTTAAGTGTACTAGCTTATATTTTCTCGTTGTGTGGAAAATGAATCTAAGCAAATATGCTCGGTGGATTTATAAGCAAGTAAGATCACATTTTAACTCTCTCTTAACTAGTCACACTTGGTCACCTCACTCCCCACAGTGAGGGAGTCTTTTATGTATGTACGAACCCCACTCTTGGGTAATAAGGAGGTTACGAACCCTCACCCTTGGGTTATTAGGTGAGTTTATTACGAGGTACCCCACAACCATGAAGAGAGTGCGGTTAGATCTGGCAATCGGGTCGGGTAATTTCAAGTTGGGGTTTCATATTACGGGTCGAGTCATGTTGGGTTGGTTTATTTCGGGTCAAATATTGACCCAACCCATTCGGTTTCGGGTCGGATTACAGATCATTTCGGGTTATGAACGCTTTCATAAACAATATCAAACATGCTTCATATTTTTTTAAAGAACACAAATCTTCACATATGCATGCCAATGGTTTACCAAACACATGTCAATTAACATATTCTCAAATCTTCCCATGCTAATGAAATGAAATACAAATTGCACAAATCATCAAAAAACAATCGCAAGAGTAATACTACTACAAGAAATACATGATATTTGATTATCCTTGAACTCCAAACATGTCTTTCAAATTATTGTGAATTTTTTTAAACATCTCACCAATTTATGAGTGATTTTATTATTTTGGGAGGTACATATGAAATGGAATGGGTCTAACGGTTCGACCTGCTAACCCACCCAACCCGACCAAAAAAATCACGGGTTAATCGGGTTCGGATCATTCGAATTTGGGTTATAAAAACTTTTATTTTTCGGGTGAGTTCAGTTCGGGTCAACGGATCGGCTTGTAAATTGCCAGGTCTACATGCGGTACTGTGTTTCCCACGCGAGGGAACCCCTATGTGCGCGTGGTCAATCGGTGAGTTGTCATTTTTGTACATCTGTTAGTGAAATTGAGGAAAAATGAAGTACACACATTTAATCTGGTGCTCTAAAAGTTGGACTTTAATGATGCCCTCCCCCAATTTTGGCATCGGCGTATTTCTCCTGTGGTTTTTGCAATCAACTTTGAGTCCCAAAATTATGTTTTCAATACCCAACAGGCCAACACACAACTTGCTTTCTTTTATTCAAGCCTCTTGAGCAACCTTCCACAAAACAATGGTGATGCTTAATACGTCAAACGATGGGGAAAGAAATTAATTTTTTTTTTAATGCGCCACCAGCAAAAAGGAAAACCTCCAAACAAACCAGAAACAGTTGAAATACCAAATGAAAGCTGCATCCCAACGGCTACACCCTTTTCTTCTCCTTCATTCAAGTCTCTTGAGATTCAGGAGAAGCAATACAACAATTCAACACATTTACGTCCTACCATCCACATCTCCCCCAAACCCATTTTACCCACCTTTTCCTTTTCTTCTCTTCCTTCTTCTGCTGGTTTACGTTCTCTGCAAGCACATTTCTCTGTCCAGTAGTTCAAGAGTACATTGTCTTGAAGCTACCACCTTTCACTTGCTCCATACGTACTCATCCGAGGATTCTCCTTACTCACCACCTACTTAAAAGAATTCTTTGAAACCTACCCTTTTCATATACGCTTGCTTCCGCTCAGCTTAATCTCAATCAAACTGAGCTTCAAAAAAAATCTTAATCAAACTGATCTTCAGTCAGGTGACTTCTCATTTCTCAAGAGAATCAAAACGCAAACTTCTGATGAGACCTGAAATCCTCTCTCTACCCATTTGCTCCTTTCACCTAACAATGCTTTCGGATTCAAATCCATAAAGCCAAAGCTGGTTTTTGGAGCTCTGTTCTTTTCTTCTGCATTTCCAGGGTAGAGGGAAGGAAGAATTATGCCTTTCGGGTTGGTTTCTGCTTGGAACAAGAGAAGGAGAAGCAAGTCCCAGGATCACAGTGACCCCTGTATGTTTTCCCATTCCTGCAAAATCACCCTTACTGCAAACTTGAAGTTTCTTTTCGAGAAAGTTCTGTAGCTTTGTAGATGTTTTCATCTCTATGTGGTTTCCAGGGGTATACAGGCCTGTGGAGTACTGGAAGCTAGAAGATCAAACTGCCCAACCCACGAAGCGACGCCATGGATCATCGATCTTCACTCTTAAGGAAATGGAGGATGCTACTTGCTCGTTTAGTGAGGGGAACTTTCTTGGGAAAGGAGGGTTTGGCAGAGTGTACAGAGGAACTCTACGATCTCGAGAGGTAAAAAGTCTGTTATACAATCAAGTTGGTCAAGGTAAAAAAAAAAAATTTGAAAGAGTACAAGTGAACCCACATCTCAAGCAGAAGCTGTGTATTGACTTTTGCAGGTAGTAGCAATCAAGAAGATGGAGTTACCTTCGTTTAAAGAAGCTGAAGGGGAAAGAGAGTTCCGTGTCGAAGTCGATATCTTGAGCAGACTAGACCATCCGAATCTGGTTTCCTTGATAGGGTATTGTGCTGATAGGAAGCAGAGGTTTCTTGTGTACGAGTATCTGTCAAATGGAAATCTGCAAGATCACTTGAATGGTAACTTCCATATTCATCGTTATAAAGTTCTGCACCATTACTTCAAACCGTTCAGGTTGTTGTTTCTAAGTTATCTGCAATTTTCATTGCAGGAATAGGGGAAGCAAAGATGGACTGGACACAGAGACTAAAAGTGGCAATTGGTGCTGCAAGAGGACTTGCTTATCTCCATTCACCGTCTGCAGTGGGTATACCGATTGTTCACAGAGACTTCAAATCCACCAATGTTCTTCTCGGTGACAACTTTGAAGCCAAGGTGAATAATATTCGCTCCTTGTTCTCACATGTTCTGAAGGGGAAAAGACCTGAAATGAGAATGGTTCCACTGAACTTCTTATGGCAATTCCTTGCAGATTTCTGATTTTGGTTTGGCTAAGTTGATGCCAGAGGGCCAGGAGATATACGCCACTGCTATGGTTCTTGGCACATTTGGCTATTTTGATCCAGAGTATACTTCGGTAGGTGGTTCAAAACTCCCTTTGTAGTAATAAGCTTGAGTAACACCAAGCTGAGAACTAAAACTGGAAGATCAAACTCACAGTAGCTGCAGTAGGACCACCACCCACAAACCGAAATGACCAGCTCTCAGATACTTGTTCTTGTTCTCCGCAATTCAACTAGCTAGAAAGAAAGAAACAAGGGTTTCACTTTGCTCCTTTTCTGCAGACCGGAAAGCTCACTTTACAAAGTGATGTCTATGCATTTGGAGTGGTTCTTCTTGAATTATTGACAGGACGTCGAGCTGTGGACCTAAACCAAGGACCAACTGACCAGAACCTTGTTCTGCAGGTGAGACAATTCAAAAATTTATCTTTCTTCTGAAGAGCATAAGTTCTGGAGACTCACTATTTGATTAAATGGATGATCTTTTGTCTTTTAGGTTAGGCACATACTGAACAATCGGAAGAAGCTGAGAAGAGTGATCGATCCAGATATGCCAAGGAGTTCCTACTCACTGGAATCTGTAGCCATGTTTGCTAACTTGGCATCACGCTGCGTACGGACAGAAAGCAGTGAGAGACCTTCCATGGCTGAATGTGTAAAAGAACTCCAAGTGATTATATATACGAATAACACAAAGAACTTAGGAATAGGAGGGAGCTCCTTCAAAATTCTCTCATAAGAGTTGTGCCTATTTATTAAAGACAAGAGGGCAACTGTGCATTATCAACAATGAAGATGTTTTCTTCCTCTCCTCTTATAAATAGAAAAGGTAATTGTGAAATACAAGCATTCATTACATACAACAGACTGAGAGCAATGGAAGAAACGGGCATCCTGAGTCAATTATTAGTCAGGCTTACAGCTAAGAATATCAACAAAAAGAATGGAAGCACTGTTAAGAATGTTTTCTTCTGCATATTGCTTCCCTAGCATCAACATTTCCCCTGCCACAGTAAATGTAATATATGCTTTGCCGGGACATAAACAAATCATTTCGTCCTATCTCCCATCATCTCCTCAACTGTGGGGGAACAAGATTTGTTGCTTTGATATCATCTTGTTTAAGGTTTTCTGTCTAGCCGGCGTTGACAAGATAACAAGAACATGCCGGTACAACTAGGCTTCAATTACACACTGCAGTCTGGAGCAAGAAAGTGATGCTGTCCCTTGCAATTACCGCTGGATGAGCAGAACAAACTCAGAACTAAGATCCAGAGCATATCCTGGATATGCAAATGCAATAGAACATCAAGCAAAAGCAACCCCTTAAGGAAGGTACTATACTAAAGATGTGCACGAAATGGAACAGATGCTATTGTGTCTATGCAAGTACCTCTGAAATATATGCTGCAACTTATGCTCCCACTTGCACATGTTCTGGGTCAGAGCCTGACATTTCAAGTTCTAAATCGTTTGTCGGTACTGGAAGCTTCTTTAACATCAAATGTTTACGACTTTGCAACAGCAGCAATACCAATATGCTATCTGTCTTAACAACATTATACCCTGCTCTTGTATACATGTTAAAGGGAGCAGAATCAACCATCCTGCAATGCAAATACACCTCCCTTACACAGCTCATCTGGGAAATTAACTCCTCACTTGCTTTCAAAAGATTCCAACCGATTCCCCTCCTGAAAGATCCAAATGCACACAACAAGAGATCAAGTCTGTTTCAATCCAATCCATCAACCTACCAAAACTGCGAGATGCACCAGAATCTATCAAATTCAAGAATACCTAGTACCACAAATGCTCCCAACTGAGAGCTCAACTCAGTATCCATCACCCACAAATGAAGCAATTAATATCTTTAGATTGAGGAAAGGGAAAACGGCAAAGATATAGTCAACCAAATTCTTGCACAGCCAATCCCTATCCATTATAGATTCACGGTGAAGAGGGGCCATCATACGAATTCCAATATCCAACTCAATAGCATTAAAGCCAGCAAAGCCAGCAAATTGAATGACACCACTAATGCTCTCAACCGAGGATTTAACTCAGATTATATTATCAACAACTGATGCAACCTATAACTTCAGATTGATGAAGCCAGAATATAGAAGAGTAAATTCACGGTCAGCTTTCTTGCACCATGACCCTTCCTCCATCTAAAGAAGGTTATCAACATATAAACGCCAATCCCCAGCCTTTGTCTCCTAAGAGCTACCGCAATAGGTACATTTTAAACCAAAAAAGATCGGAACTTTTACATTACCAAACAAAGCCAGGAATCAATTTGTATAATTAAAGGCTTTCATATTACCAAGTACCTACTATATGCAAGAACTGCCGATGAGATTTTCAAATCGTTACCTACGAAGTGGCTTGTTCACAGTCATATTGCAGATATAGGGAGAATCCTTCGGCGGTGTTGGCGTGGGAGGAGAATCATTTGCCCCTCTCTTATTGAAACAAATTTCCACTGTCCCAGCTAACTCCCCTTCATCTTCCTCCTCCTCCTCTGCCTCCGCCGCTTCTTCCTCTCCGCCCCCGCCGCCGCCATCTTTCCATTTAACGAACCCTAGAAGTGTAACGGCATGGGGAATAGCGGCTCGCCTCTCAAGCAAGTACTGCTTCACCAAGTAACTCACCAAAGGCAAGTACCAATCTGGCAGCTTCATGGACTCCACAAAGGACTCGGAGAGCAACTTGACAGTGACATCGGTCTCGTCCGGCCTCATTACCCGAATGCAAAGCGACCCGATTCCCAGTTCCCGACGATACCGGAAGTCCTGAAGGCTCTGGAGCTTGAGAAGCTCTTCATTGCTGAGGAAATTGTAATTCCCTGTCTTCAACCAGTCCTCTAGGCTCGAATACACAGCGGAGGCGCTGCTGCTAGTGGATTCTTCGGAAACGGAGGGAGGAGACTGCGAGGAGGCGGAGGTGCAGGATGATTTAGGGCTGAGACGAAATCGGGACCTCTGCGATAAGAGGAAATGGGGATTGTGACTAAGAGGGGAAAGGAAGAGTCGTGATCTGTGGCGGGAAGAGGGAAGCGATGGATCTGAAGAGGTGGGCGTAAGGGCGAGTGAGAGTGTGGAAGCAGCCGCCATTGGAAACGGGCAGACGAAGGAATTGTGATCTGTGTGGACTGTGGCTAAATCTCTGAACATCACATGGATAATGGACCGGAGGTCGAACGTAGCAAACGAGTGAAGGCAAACTGAAATGCGCACATAACTGAGTTTACAAAATCATTTCATATTTTTCACTAAGAATATATTATTCTAGTTTGTTATCACTAAAATTAATTCAATAATCTATGTTAGATTATTAACAGTAAAACACTAAAACTCTATTGACTTTATTTGATGTGATAATCAACTTTCATTATTGTCTGGTAAATGTCCGACGTGACAATTAAAAAATAGATACGCTTTTATCTTTTAGATTTTTCACCTCATTTTCACAACTATTAAAAAATAAAATGAAACTTAATTTCCTATAATTCCTTAACCACCCAAACCCTACACATTTTCTTGAACAAGAGGCAATTTCACTAACTCACAAGAACCCTGAAAATTGTCCAAGTGTTTATTTTGTTTCTGGGTACCTACTTTGCAAATGTTGCTGTAATAAGAGCACGACCACAATAGATGATTGATGTTTTCCTCATCCGCATTGCAAAGAAAGTACCTACTAGCGAATCTCCATCCTCTTTTCTTCATATTTTCATGGGTAAGCACCCGCTCATGCCTGAGCAACCAGAGGAAGGCATTGACCTTCATAGGGACAAGGGGTCGCGAAACCACTTTGTAAGGGAAGTCGTTGATGCCTGGGAATCTCACATGATTAAGAACTCCACACATGGATTTCACAGAAAAAAAGGCACCCGAACATGGGTTCCATATGGTCTTTGCAGGACCTGTAGAGGTTAAACCAGAAGGTAAAAGTAACAGATTATGAATAAGATTAAGCCTCTCTCTCTCAACCCCACCCCTTAAGGTAATTGATAAATGCAAGACCTACTCCACATCCCCATTGTCAAAAGATATAACATCAGATACCTCATGGGACCGGGTCATGCACAAAGTAGTCAACAACTGCATAAATTGGAATGTGGCCAAAGGTGGTATGAATCAGCAGGAGGCACTACTACTAACTAGGTTGTTTGGCTATGTAACTTCATCTTCTTCCTCCATAACCTGAGAATTCTCTTTCATCAATTGTTGTAATATTCTCTCATGTTATACTCAGTTGTAAGTTGTAACACAGATGAGCTCTTAATTTTTGAGCAAACAACAGTTTATTAATACAAATACAAAATCATTCATAAAAAAAACATCAGATACCCATGCATCTTGGAGTAAGGTGGCAACAACAACTCTAGGATAGGCATCTTTAAGAATCGTTCCCGGCAGCCATCAGTCATCCAAAAGGATACCCAGGCACAAACCCCAAGGGTGACATGTGCAAAATTCCAGAATAAAGCTTCCTCCTTAACGATCTTCCTCCACATCGAGCAGCCCAAAGGGCCGGAACCAGAATCGGTTCTCCAGATAGACAAGGGGTTTGGAAACTTGGTACAATGAGCTGGAGCCACCACGAGTTTGGCTCCATATCGTATTTCCAGAACCACTTAGCAAGAAGATACGAATTCATTCTAGCAAGATCCAAAAACCCTAGTCCACCTATATCCTTAGTAGCTTTACACAGATTCCATAGGACCAAGTGATACTTACTCTTGTCCTGAACACCGGACCAAATAAAATTACGCTGCTACTTCTCCATCTTACGTATAGTTGCTTTGGGTGCTCTCAACATGAAAAACTAATACAAGGGTTGACTTGACAGGAAGCTTTTGCATAAGGTGATGTGGTCGCCAGAGATAAGACCTTGCTTCTCCAACCCTCGAGTCTCGACTGAAATTTCACCATGACACTATTCTAGATAGTCGAGGATTTAGGACTAGCACCGAGAGGAAGGCAGAGATAGATGGTTGGGAGACAACTTCAACCGCAGCCAAAAATGCCTACATATATATCTAGGTTCTGAACGTCACCCACAAGGAACATCATGCTCTTCTCAACGTTAATTCTTAAGGTCGACAATAGGTTCAGCACTTGGTCCTCGTTAACTTCACGAAAAATGATGGTATCGTTGGTGATGACTCGATATTTGCACATGTTTTCCCCTTTGTTTCTTGATCGTTTGAGCTTAAATTATCGCGTCTTTGGCCTATTTTATGCTAGGTTGTGTTCCTTTGTCACATTTCAGGTCCTAGCACATAAAGTGAAGCATAGGCGCAAGTTTCAAGTCAATCAGAGATCAATTGGCGATTCGGGAGAAGAAACTCGGGCATGACCTGAAGAAGAATGGATTTCTACCTCACTTTATGGACAAAGAATCATGCAAGCTTGTCATTAAAAGAAAGAGGACGAGACTACGAGCGTCTGGGATCAAACGGCGACTGATTCGGAGTCCGGACGAGGGAGAAACGAAGCATTGAAAATAGGGAAACAGGTTCGGCAGTAAAAACACGGGCGCGCCTAAATCAAAACACGGCCGTGCCCATATTTAGACACGACCGTGTTTTGGCCAACGCGTGCGGGCGTGTTTTTAACACGGGGCAAAACACGGGCGGTCAAAAGCAAAGCACGGCCGTGCCCTCGACCGTGTTTTGCCCAGAATCAGGTTTTTTAACGCAAATTCGAGCCAAAGGAGAGGGAGAGCTGGGTTTTGGATCCCAAACACCCAAGGGACGAACCAAAGAGAGAAAGGGCGATCTGAGGGCATTCTAAGAGTGGAATTGGAGGATTTCTTCGCCTTGGAAGCTCGAGGAACAAGCCCAGACTTGAAGACTGATCATCTGAAGATTCTTACTGCAGTCTCTCTCTTCTCTATGGAGTAACTTCCCTTCACTTAGGTTTTGAGGAACCCTAGCTATGTTTGTTTGATTGGATGATTGTATGAGTACTCTGACTTGATAATCTTGAGTTCATATTCAATCTATGCATGTTTTCATGATTCAATTCTGCTTTAGTCGAGATTATTGATTCTGCTTTGATCCTATGAGAGGGAATACCTGATTAGGTCAATAGAGCACCATAGATTGATAGTAGTGGATCGATTACTTTAGTCGAGGGTTGATTCACTGCTTTGTATCGATTGAGAACCTCTTTCGATAGAGGGAGTCTAGTTCAGAACGCCTTGATCAGTTGTTCTAGAGAAGGATACGTCCCTCTAGGCAATTGACTCAAGAGGGCCTTGTTCCTTTAGTCGAGACTCAAGGTCTAGTCGAGGATTCTCCGCATTGTGAATGAAAGTGAAACAAGTTAGAAATCATCAATCGTTAATCTGGCTAGTGGCTAGGGGGAATCATACCTAAGTGAGTTCCCAACCTGTAATTAGATTAACTTTAACTGTAGTTTGCTAGAGTAGTTTTAGTTCTTTTATCTTAATCTGGTTTGCTAAATAATAAACTGAAGCTGAGTAATAGTAACTCTAGAGACCCGTGGATTCGATATTTATCACTTGAGCCACTATACTGCAGTCCCTTCCATTGGTTACACTTGGCCATTGTTAGGTGTTGTGTCGTAGCGAGTCAGTTGGCATACAAATGGTGAGTCACTTCCCCTCTTAAATTAGTTTCATCCATGAAGAACCAGGAAAACAATCCTCTTCTTTAAGAGTCTCCAACATAACAGAAAGAACGTACATGACAAGGAGGAAAAGGAAAGGGGACATAGGTTCACCTTGGCCCAGACCTTTCAGAATATTGAGAACCCGACAGCTTCTCCATTAACAAGAATCGAGAGAATAGGGTAGGTAACTAACCCTTTAATCCATAATTTGACCCTATGAGGAAAGCATACTGTCCAATATCTTGAAAAGGAAATTCTAATTGACGTTTTCAAAAGATTTTTCAATGTCAAGCTTGAAAACCAATCTCGGATTGTCGCTCTTCCTTCTACTATCGATCAACTCGTTGCAATCAAAGAGCCTCATGGATTTGTCATCCCTTGAAACCTCCAAATTGGCTACCAGAAATAGCCTTCATCATAATGGGTCTAAGTCTTTCAGTAATATTCTTCGACAACAACGTATTAACACTCCCAAGGAGGCTAATAGTTTGAAAGTCTCTGATATCCTCAGTTGCCTCTTTCTTAGGGATGAGGCAAACAAAGGAATGAGTGATGAACTTTGGAAGTTTTCCATTGGAATAGAAATCATTAAACGCTTTCAAGACATCTTCGTTGGTCAACCCCAACTGTTTTTGAAGAAAGAGAAGGAGAAGCCAGCAAGCCCGGGCGCTTTGTCACCTCTACATCTCTTAATCACCTTATAGATTTCTTATTCCATAAAAGGTCTTGTGAGAGCCTTGTCATCTTCATTAGAAACCTTGTAATGATCATACCGATCCAGGAAAGGGTGCATGGAACTGTCTCCTTTGAAAACGGAAGTGGAATGGCCAACAAACGTTTCTTTCAACTTCTCACGACCTTCAACCATCACACCATTCACTTTGATATTTGAAACCAGGTTCTTCCTTTAATTATGGTTGGCAATCGTGTGAAAATATCTTGTGTTTTGTCCCCAAATTTAAGCCAAATCTCTCTGGACTTCTGACGCAAAGATATCTCTTTCATGATCAGAGCTTGGTTCAGAGTGCATTTGAGGTTGCTTCTTGCAAGGAGATCCTCCTCACTGATAGAACTCACCTCTTCCTTTAAATCGATCTCTTTAATTTTTTACAAAATTTCCGTAATCCTTTTTCCACTTTCCCAAACTCCTCTATGTTCCAAACTTTTATGAGACTCTTCAACTCTTTAAACTTCTTCCCGAGCTTGAAAAGGTCTCCACTTCCGGAGGGCTGGACACTCCACCACTCTTGCTCATCAAAGGAGTTGTCAAGAAGCCACATGTTTTCGAATTTTCATGGCCTGTGAATCTTGTTATCCTCTCCCCATAAAAGTTGTAGAGGATTGTGGTCCGAAACGACCCTGTCCAAGGAAATAAGTATGCAATTTTGAAATAAGGAGTCGAACTGGATGCATATCAAACATCGATCAATTCTAGACATTGAAGGGGAAGCACCACCCCTGCTCCAGGTGAACGAGGCTCCCACCATGGGTAGTTCAATGGGGCTTGAATCATTAATGAACGAATTGAACTTCTCCATTAAATCAGAGCTCCTAGTAGCTCATCTATAATCATCATGAGTTCGGACAAGGTTAAAATCCCCCATCACGCAGATGGGGTTATATTCATTGACGATATGTCCCTCCTGTCTTGAGGCCCATAAACAATCAAAATATTGAAAACTTACCTCTTCTGAATATCTTCAAGCATCACCATAAGCCCAAATTCACTCTCATGCACATCCAGGTCCTGAAAACAAATCTATCCCAATAAATCACAATACCTCCCTTGCTATCACTAGCGTTCTTGCAGCCCACACTGATTCTCTGTTATCACTAATCGAGTTCACAAGAGTTTGATCACATGAAATCCATTTAGTCTCAGTAAGACCCACTAAAGTCGACCTCCTTCTGCTCATAATTCTCATTATCCTTGACCTCTTCTGCTCACATCCCAGAAACCTTACATTCCAAGCAATAATAGACTTAACCATTATGATACATTTGGGTTGGACCCAAATCTCTTTTCCTCTTGCATCTAGGACCTCTGGCTTGGCTGATACCCAGGCCTAATTGATGTCTCTCCATCTCTGTCTTTGATCGCGTCACATGTTTTTTCCTCCCATGGGTGGAGGATGCACTCTGTTGAACAAAGGTGGCTACATCGCCATCAAGATTTAACTCAAATAATCTGCTCGTGCGGAGGCTACAACTGGAAAGGCTATCAAGGTCAAAAGGTGTAGAAGTTGGGTCGAAATCAACACATTCTCCCCGGACAATCATACTTGGGGGATCCGGCTCGATGAAGGTTGGGAAGTCTGGTGGAAAAGGGGAATTGGGAGTGTCTTGTGATGGTAATTGGGAGTGTAGGTCAGGGGAGATATCCCCTACAGGCACAACAGGGGTAGGTGGAGCCAGTGAAGAGTGGCTATGGCTACGGGTCGACGAATGAAGGGTAACATAAATGGGTTGGTCTTGGAAGGTGAGGGATGATTGGTGCGGTTACAATGATGGTTGAGCATATTGGAGTTCGGTAGAGGAGAGGAGAAAGGAGGGCGATGATTAAAGAGTAGGTTGTGGATGGGGTGACCGGGTACGGGTGGTGAGTAGAAGGGAATCGGGAGGGAGATGAAGGTTGAGACAAAATGGGTTGCAAGGGATTTTGGTTTGGACGTGAGGGAGTGGGCTTGACAATCAGGCTTTGGCTATGAGGACTGGTGGAATGTTCACGGTTGGGGCAGGAGATAGTAAACGGGTTTGGGATGGGCCCGGCTTTGCGGATCCAAATAGATCTGGGCATGTTGTCCTCCTTTCCAAACTTTCTAGAACGAGTCGAAGATTCACCTAACCTGGCCACACGCATGGAGCAAGGATAATTATCGAAAAGCGTGGACGTGCATGGCCTTGGCTTATCATGCGCAACCTCGGGGAAGGGAACCTGAATTCCGCGGCCTTTCGCCTTCTAGCCAGCAAAAATGGAACTTCTACCAGTGACAATCACTGAATCAAGATGGGGTGTGGATCTGACGTTAATGATGAACAACTTCCCGTCAAAAAAGACCGGGACCTCCTTAGGGATCCAACCCTGCGCTTCGATCTTAATTCTGACGAAGGGTGAGGACCAAGAATTCCAATCAACCTCCAAGAATTTACCACATAATTCACCTATTATCTTGCAGAGATGTGGACTTTTTAGATGAAGGGGGATACCAAACACAAAAATCCAGTGCGCTGGAGTATTCTTTCTGGGGCAATCGAGCTTGAATCAGACCAATGCTCAAGACGCACACTAAGATTTGAAAGCGATCCTCACCTATGATGTAGATGCGATTCACATCCTCAGAGGAAGGACAAATAAGCATCCACCTTCCATCTCCATCATCTTTAAACTCATGGTTGGTCAAGCTCATTTCGTAGTCGCCCAGGACAAGAAGGCGGAGAGGCGATGAGTCGAGAGGAACTCGCCATCCTTACCTTAAAGGACACAATCAAGCAGCATCCTAGCAGCTCCAGTATCTCCTCAACCCCAACGTTTCCCACCTCAATGGATTTATCTCTCCCCACAGTTGTGATCTTCGCCTCTCCGAGAGTGCAAAAATATTTGATGCTGGCAGAGTTGGCGTAAGATTTGGGGAGGCTTTGACTCTGGTTTTGTTCAGCTTCAGTACTGACACACGAAGGCTGAACGAGGCGCGATTGCAAAAGATTAATCATTTTTCTCCATCCAACCTGGTCGTCTTCCGCAGGAATGATGATAAAGAACGTATGCCTCGCCCGCAAGGATTCATAATTTTTTAAGAAGCATCCCATCTTGTTAGAAAAATTTTCGGCATCAATTAACAAATTAATAATGATTGAACATGTGTTTAGCACCGAAGATAGAGAATGAGAGAGAAACCCCTTAGAGAGAGAGATTTTTCGTCTTTTTTATTTATTTATTTTTGCAGGTACTCGTCGTCTAGAAGATTGGATGGTAGCGCAACTTTGGAAAAGCATCTGAAAAAAATCGAGATCGGCCACAAGCATATTTTCTTGGACTCCATTACCGGACGCGATGGAACCCTATTCAAGCTCTCTGTCACGGAACAATCTGGGAGAGTGCACCACATCATGTTTGACTCTTGCCAGGCGGAGTGGCAACAAAGCTAACTCCAAACGGCGGAGTTGAAGGGGTGGGTCTTCCCAAACCGTAACACAAGGTTAATTTTCATTATGCAAAATGATCATCCATTACGTAAGACTTCTGTAATGACACTTTACAAACGTTACAAAAATACACACCATTAAGTAAAGATTACAGAATGATAGTTATTTATTACGTAACAATTAAATTAGAAGCGTTATGTAAGACTTCTGAAATGATTTAGCACTTTGCATAACGTGAGGTTAATATTCATTATGAAAAAGGACCGCTCATTAATTAAGGCTTTCCGAATGAAACTTTACAACTATTACATAAAATATACAACTATTACATAAAATATACATCTATTACATAAAAGACTACGTATTGATTTAACAATTTGTGTAACGCGAGGATAACATTCATTACATGAAAGACTGTGTATTACATAAGCCTTCAGTTGTGCCATTTACAAAGATAAACATAACTCACTTAACCATTATATATTGGTTATTGTATTTTGCATTATTACTATTGTATTTTATGTAATGCTACCTATAAAACCTAGCTAAAAGAAGTTCAAATGACCTTACTTGAACACGTTCAACACGTCGTAGAAAATCTCGAAAAGGGTATATTATCACAAAATAATCTCTGCCTATAATTTTTGTAGGCAGTTTGCACCGCAGCGCAAAGCATACGCATGGCCCCCAACCTCTTTTTTATCGGGTTAATTGCACAAATACCACATAAGTATTGGTTTTGTTGCATGCTAACCACTTAAGTTTTTTTAGTTGCAACTAATTCACATAAGTCGATTTCCAGTTGCAAAATTATATTTTTCATCCTTAAACTTAACAGTGGGTATCAAATTGTAATTTTTCACAATAATGTTTACATAAAGTAACAAAACCTCTGGTAAGCTGAAGAACTCGTCGGCGGGAAGATGAGACATAAACCCATCACCGCTGCTCTGACTAGGGATGGCAACAAAACCCGAACCCACGGGTACCCTGCCCTACCCAACCCGGTCAACGCGGGTAAAACTCGCGTTGACGGGTTTTGGGACGGGTTTGGGTTTAAACCCGTACACTATTCACCGGGTTGGGTTTGGATTTAGAGATACTCGATCCATGGATACCCGTCCACACTTATTTCATCCTACTCTACCCAAACCCTACCATAATTCAAATTTTCCCCAATCTAACTCTCACTACATTTATTATGTGTGCTTTTATTTAGTGTAATTATGATATGTTTGGATTTTCTAGACTGGTGTTTTATGTATGGATAATTTTTATGGGGAAATTAATGTTTGAATTTTATTTTGATAGGAACTTGTTATTGTAAATTTTTACCACAAAAATCCATGAGTACTCATGAACCCGCGGATACCCAGCGGGTTAGGTTGGGTTTGAGTTTTTCAAACCCAGTGAGTTTAACCCCGGATTTTTTTTACGGATAAGGGTTTGGCAAAACCCGACCCAACCCGACCTATTGCTATCCTTAGCTCAGCCTGAAGTTGAAGAACAAAACCTCCTTTAAGTTTGATTGGAAAATTACAATTTGATACCTACTGTTAAGAAGGATGTAAAATATAACTGTCCAATCGGAAGTCGACTTATGTGATTTAATTGCAACTAAAAAAACTTAAATCATTAGTATGCAACGAAATCAATATTTGTGTGGTATCCGATGCAATTAATCGTTTTTTACCCATGTGACGGGAAAGTTGAAAACTTGTGAAATGGGTTCTCAAGTTCAATAATGTGAAATCAGTGGCATTGCCATATGGAAAAATGATTGCGGCCATTTTAGCCTTGGATACCTCGAACCCGCCAGGGCAATGGCCCCATCTGAAGGATGGCAATGGTTAGGGTAGGGTGCGGGTTTACCCTATACCAATTCTTAATTCGTTGGGTAGAGATTTTAAAATATCCGACCAAATAACTACCGGGTATGAAAATTATATAACCATACTCTATTCACTGGGTAACCACGGGTATTCGGGTAACCATGGGTACGAATCCTAAACTATGAACTTATACACATATATGCACATACATACTTTTGTCCATTAAAAATTCTCAATACTTGTAAATGTTCTAGTTTCAACAATCCACACAAATAATAACAGCAAACACATAATAATTGTTCTTGCTTCTACAATCCACACAAACATAATAATCGTCTACATCTTCATCGTCAATTTCTCAAGCAAAAATAAATTTCTCAAGGAAAATTGACCATTTGATTAGCGGGGCGGGTATCATGGGCGAGTATTATCAATTACCATACCCGTACCCTACCCTTTATTTTGAAACCAGGTATTACCCGTACCCGCCCCTTGACCCGTCAAAGCGGGTAATTACCCTCGTTGACCGGTTACAGTCGAGTAGGGTACCCATGGTTACGGGTTGGATTGACATCCAGCTCAATTCTCATCGTCAAGTCTCCCCAACCCCAAGTCCCCAACCTATTATTCCAACTTGGAATAAGTGATTCTGTTTTCCTTTGGACTTTCAAGCTCTCAGATGGAGTTGTTTAACAAATTTCGCCTCTTGGTTCTGAGATTCCAGTGAGCCATAAATAGTATTATACAACAAACTCTCAACTCTGCAATTTTGACTCGTTCAAGTCAATCCCTCTAATGTTCACTACAGGCACGCAGCAGCGAAGAACAGTTAACAACACATCAAGGTACTCAAACCGCCAGGGGCTTTTCTGTTGTTTATTTATTCAAAAAGTCAAGAAACAAAAAATACAGCTCGACGCTCGTCAACTAGACAAGGTTCATAGAACCAAAAACTGGATCGAGTCACAATGAATCTGAAACTCTGGCAATAATGGACAGCATTTCTGTAAAACACACTTGATGTCCTTTGTACAATAACAAATCAGCTCTCAGCAGAGAGCATGAACATGACAACCAACTAAACCCAATCTACACCTCAAGCAACAAGAGATTTATTGCCTCCTCAGTCTCTTAATCACTTGCAGAAGTATTTGATTCCAAGTATCCACAGGGCCAGGCAGGCACCAATGTACACAATCATTCTGAACACGTTCACCAACACCATTAGCAAATGGGAAAGGGTACATGTAAGGCCCCGGATGGCCGTCGGGCCGCATCAATGACAGTCTGGTCACATCCAATGCCTCTAATCTCACCTTCTTCTGGTTGCCACCGATTCCAAGTCTGGCTGATTCAACTTCTTCGACCTCGATCTTTCTCATATCAGCATCCATCCCTTCCAGCAGCTTCTCCCCTTCGCCATAAGGCTCGGTCTTGGGACAAGCACCGAACTTGTCCCAATCGCCTTGGAAGTGAGATGGCGAAAACGTGGTGAGGATCACATCAATCCCATCTCCTCTATCGGAGATGGTGTTGACTGTGGTCCTGACTGCCTTCCTCAGCACATCATAGAACCCAATTTCGGTATGGTTCAGACCAGGACAGTAGTGGCAACCTAGTACCTTGCCGTCTTCCAAGTAAACCGCAGGATGCAAGAACCAGTGCCCAATTGACAAGACAATCGTGTCGATCCCATCCAAATCCTTCCCCCACCGCTCGTCGATTCGATCGAGATACAATTCGTTATGATCCGGCCCGTTTTTCGACTTCTCCACGCCCTTGACGAGGAAAGGAGACCAGTAAATGGAGACACTGGCGTTGTGGGAAGCGAAATGCCATCTCCGGAACTTGTTGTCGTCGCCATTTTTGTAGACGAGATTGGGAGGGGAAACAGAGGATAGCATACAAACCAGCGACTCCAGCTGGTTCCTGGCCATGGAGTCGCCCACAAAGGCGATGTGCCTGTCAGCAAAAAATTGGAGAAATTCGTTTGGATCAAACCTCGGAAGCTGACAGTCTTGCGGCTGCCATCTCCAGTAGAGGAAACCTAGGTCGGGCCTTCCATGGGACATGCAATTCTGGCCGTCTTTGATTGTCCCGCAGGTTGTGCCGTTGTAGAGAGGACCCATTTTGTCAGGGACCCATTTACCTTGGGTGTAGTCACATGCCGTTTCCTTGCTCAGAATCATCTCTTCCTCTGCAGAAAACATAAAAACAACAGAGACCCACGAAATTTAAGGACCTGAATACTGGGCAGAGAGTGAAACCCAGAAAGAAAGGTATGACCTTTTTGAGTCAGAGAACTCCTGTTTCATAAACATACCTGGCAGTTGAGGAGGGAAGGAGGAAGAAGGAGAGGAGTTCACGGGAAGAGAGGAGAGGGGAATCGCGAGGTGGGAAGGTGGAGGAGAAGGGTAAAAGTAGAAGCGGAAAACGATGAAGGGGAGGAGGAGGTAGAAGGTCCATTGAAGGAACTTTCTGGTGAGGAAAGGGAAAGGGTGGTCTTTAGGGAAGAAGGAGGTGGATGTGCCATTTCCGAATCCATCTTTCGTTGCTCTCCAGGCTCCTGGTGATTTCCTGTCGTCCTTGTGCTTTTCCAGCATGGTGTTTATCGATCTGGGGAGGAGGGAATGAGAATGTCTGTGTTAGTTTTTTTGGCTCTGGGGAATGGTGGGGAAGGGCAAGGAAGGAGAAGCCTGGAGGAGGGTAGAGAGCTGATATCTGCTCTTTTGGTTTGTTTTTATTGTTTTGAGGTGGGGGAAGTGGAGTAGTTTATATTTTTTGTATGACCTTGGGTTGTACACTTGTACTGGTATGGATGGAGCGGAGGAAGTAGCAGGGAGTGGTTGTGGCTGTGTCTGTGTGTAGGTGGCGATGTAGTCAAAGTAACCTTGAGAATCCCATTGTTATCTCTGTTCTTTTACCCTTCTAGTTCTCATATTGCTTTTGGTACTTTTTTGGCCAAAAAGAAATATGCAATTATAACAATATGGCTAGTGGCTAGTGGCTGCCACGTTGTCTTTTGATGGGTTGCTGCTATCAGCCTATGAGCCCATGCTGAAGAAGAAAAAAAATGGTTGGGTCATGGCCCATGGGTGGGTTTTTGTTTGAGTGAAGAAAAGGCTGTGGTTTTTCCATTTTCATGTTTGTGATAGTGTATGTTGTTATTATTTTTGTTACAATGAAACGAACAATCGATAAAGTAAGAAGAAACATCACACTAAGAATTTATGTGATTTTATAATTTATGTGATTTTTATTAGCATAATTTATGTTAACTGATTAACGGACAGAAGATTAATAGATCCACTATTCTATTTTTAAAAATAGGGACTACGAGTTACATAATAGAGCCGGATAGAAGGCTATTATAGAACCCGTATCTTAATTGGATTTCTATTTAACGCCCTAACTTTTTAAATTTTTCTCCCTAAACTAATAAAACAGACGATATTGCCCCAGTTCCTTCCACGGTCGCCCATCCATCACCCTAAGGCCTAATCCCTAATTTTGCTCATCTCGTCGCCAGAGCCCCGTTCCTCTTCCCGTCGAAGAGCGAGACACAATATGAGAAAAATCACGAATAAATTTAAAAAAGTTAGGGCATTAATTAGTACCTCCCCTAAACACATTATGCATGCAAAAAACCTTGCACTATCAATCATATGCAAGATTACCGGATTCAAGGCGTCTCGTCATATTTTCTTAACTAAATTTTTTATTTTGATTCACGAATAAATTAAATTAATTATGATTAGATAATAACATTCATCTTGATATATTATAAGGAGAGAAAAAGGCAATTAAAACATCTTATATGGTGCTTAACTTATGCTATATGGTACAGAAAGAGAACTCCTATATTAACTTGGGTATAATTTCAAGTTAGGTAACTTGCATAGATGTAAACCGTTAAAATCTATCAAACTTATTTTAAACCATTGGTTAAAAAAATTAAAAAAAATAAGCAAGAAAATAAATGGCAACAGGGGTTGCCGATCACCACTACCCAACTTACCTTTCTTTTTTTTCATTTCAAATTTAGTTGTTTTTCCATATTTTATTCTTTCATTTTTTAATTCTTATTGAATTAGAAGCGTTACGTACCAGCCTAGTTATTCTGCTAACTGCATAAGTTGTTAGTATATACTAACTAATATCCAACTAGCATTCAATATGGATACGCTTATGTGTTATCTGGATACTAATTATGTGTTGTATGGGTACTAGTCTGTGTTGTCTAGATATTAGTTTGTGAATTTGGGATAACAGTTGATTCATGGTGGATATTAGTTAGCAAACCTTGAATACTAGTATGTGCTCTCTAGATACTTTAGTACTTGGATACTAGTTCATGTATTGTGAATATCAGTTAGTATCTGCTAACGAATCTTCAAGTTAGCAGATTAACTTTCCTCGTTACGTAAGGCTTCCGTAATAACTTAGATCTTTACATAACACGACCTTAATGCTCATTACGTAAAGAGACCTTCCATTACCTAAGACTTCCGTAATGATATTTTACAACTATTACGTAAAATACACATTCAGTACGTAAAGGTTACCGAACGATAGTTATTTCTTACGTAATAGTTAAATCGGAAGCCTTACATAAGGCTTCCGTAATGACTTACCACTTTACGTAACGCGAGGTTAATACTCATTACGTAAAAAAAATCTTCCATTACCTAAAGGTTACGGAACGAAAATTATTTCTTACGTAACAGTTAAATAAGTAGTGTTACGTAAGGCTTCCGTAATGACTTAGCATTTTACGTAACGTGAGGTTAATACTCATTACGTAAAGAGACATTCTACGTAAGGCTTCCGTAATTATCTTTTACAACTGTAACGTAAGATTACTATATGTTACGTAACCATTACGTAATGCCTATTGTATTTTACGTAATGAGACCTGTGAAACCTGCTATAACTGATAAAAAAAATCAAATTACCTTACTTCAAGTTACCGTAGAAAATCTCAAAAATTATATTATGCGATAAAAAAAATACACCACAAAACTCCATAAGGGTACATAAACTATACCATACCCAATCGCTTGTTTGATTATGCTTTCTAGTCGATTGATTTACACGAGTCAAAGTCGTACACTGCCAAAACAAGACACAGACAGATTTTAAACGTCTGAGGCAATTGAAGCTTAACTTAACGTGGTTGTCGGGTTGGTGAAACAACAGAAAAGAAATCTCTCAGTTTATAGTTTATAAGATGTTCCAAACTCCAACTTACTTTATTACTATGAATGATTAACTAAAAAGCTAAGCCACCTTTCAGGATTTCATTTGTTTAATCTTGGATTAAAAAGAAATTAGTAGAACCCCTGGTGGGAGTTTTGTCTTGTTACCTTCAAATTTTTCAGTATTCGATAGGCCCAATAAGGTCGAATAGCGAACTAATGTAATTAAAACGTATTTGTTTTTCTGTATGTCCAGTTGTGTAGTTGTCTGTTTCCGTGCTGATCAAGTCAATCCACAATTAGGCTCCACGGCGGGTATTAAATGTTTTCTGGATGGGAATTAAGGGATGGGACCAAGCTGTTGATTGAGGTGTTAGCGAGAGAGTAATAGTCAAGAAGGGTCCATTTTTGAAAAAAAAATAATAATAATAAAAAAAATTGTATCATTGATTAATTATAAAATATTTAATAGTGTTGATATAACTTTGAATAAAATTATCTTTCTACGATTGGAAGTCCACTTTTTATGGGCCGATACATATTTGGGTTTCTATTCTTGGCCTAGTTTGTGATCTTATTATTTTACTAGATTGGATTGGAGTTATACTACATGGAGAAATGCTATAAATACTTTTTATACTTCTCTATAATCTATATCTTCTCAAAATATAGTGAAACTGGGTCTCTTCTCCCCGTGGGCTAGCTAACACACGTTGTGTTAGTGAACCACATTAATCTATGTGCAGCGGCGGATTCAGGGGGTGGCCACCCCGGGCCCCGGCCCAGCCCTCCTCTGGATCCATAGTTAATATAGGCCTTATGAATTTTTTGATTTTAGATATTCGGGTCGTTGTTATTTTAAAATAAGATTGGGTATAATTAGAAAAATAATTCAGATAAACATATTCAAAATCACTACTCTAAATTTAGCTTATAAATTCTAACCCCAAAGGTTATTCGTCTAAAAAAACAATGAAACCTAAAAATTCAAAAAGTTTAAAACGTAAAAGACTAAAACATATGAGGTTTGTTACCTTGAAAAATTTACTAGAGCAACTGGTGGATATAGGGATGGAAACACAATGCAAATTGATTAGTAGATTGATTTGTCTAGTGTTGATGCTTCTCGTTTCAACAGCTAATACGAATATAACCTTTTCAACAACGAAACATGTGAAAATTGATTTGCAACAAAATGAGTGATGGATTTCTAGTCGATTGCTCAAGTATTTTATTTGAAACAGTGTATACTATTGGTATGGATGTGGACTCCATTATTAATCCATTCTCTGAATTAAAATACCGTCGTGTACAATTTACATTGTAAAAAAATTATAATCATTATATTTTTTTACTATTCTAATTTTCTAATAAAATGCGGCCCCAGTGCACTTCTGTGTTCTGGATCCGCCGCTGTCTATGTGTCTTGCTAGTTTGTTACTTTCGTTTTTCTCTCTTTCGACACTCTGATCTCCCGATCCGTAGAAATAGTCATGACAAATAGATTTATAAGCGCTACTCAACATTAAATATTAAATAAGCTAATTGCGCCTTATTGACTTTGGGTGTTTGTGTTTAAGTGGTTGGACTCCTTATTCTTGGTTTAGGTGATCTACCGCCCCCCATGGCCTCGATAGCCGATGCCTCCTTCTCTCTCTTGTACTCATCTAGTCGGTATGAATTGTTGCTCTAAAAAATTGTGTTTGGTAACAAGCAGGCTTGGTATCAAGACAACGAGGTACCAAGCCAAGTACCATCTAGAGAGTCATCCAAAAAACTACTTATAGATATCAAGTCGAAAAGACAGGCTTGATAGCAAGATACAAAATTTGGCTAAGTCTGCATACCAAGCGAGTGAAATAGATTTGGCGGTCTAGCAACAGGGTACCAAGTTGACAAGATGAGTTTAGTAGCAAGATATAAAATTTGGCTTAGTGTGGAGTATTGATGACTTAGTAGCAACACGAAGGTAACAAGACGACAAGACAAACTTCAAGTTGGCAAACCTCCCAAAAACTAAGTATGGAAGTATGAAATAGGGTATTAAGCTGGCATGGTGGCAAGCTAATAACTTAATGAGATTAAAAAAGGGGTCGTTAGGAGAATAAGAGTCTAAATTTATAGATTGTAAACAATTCAAAGATTCTAACTCTTCGGATTGTTGAAAAAGATCTTACAATGTTAATTGCTTGGTAACTGTGATTGTTAATATTATATAATGGAATAGATAAATGTCATGTTTATCCTAAAAAATTAGAGTGATTCGAGACATATTGTGGAACTTTTGTATAATACGAATCGAGACATGTTAAATATTTTAATCAACAATAATGGAATAATGTTGTTTATGTAACTGCTATAGAATGATTATTACATTAATCTTTCATAATGTAAATCAAATTTAGAAAGTAACATATGATTAAATTATTATGTCTTAATCAACTAACCTTGCAGAATCTTTTCATGTGCAAATTGATGACATGTTAAATATTTTAATTAACAATAATGAATTTTGATTAATAATAAATAGTTATTTTTAATATTATTC